AATTCACCATCTGAGAACATTGCCCTCTGGTTACATCAGAAGCTCTGGCATGTGGGACAAAAGACAATGTGGGCAGCTGCTAAAGCATGGCAACTGCCCATACAGCTACCGGACATTGTCCAGGCAAGCCCGGATTGCAGTGCTTGCTCTAAGATGAGACCAAGATCATTGCCTGAAACAACAGCCCATCTTGCTAGAGGACACAATCCTCTCAAGCAATGGCAGGTCGATTACATTGGGCCCATTCCTCGGTCTGAGGGGGCGAGATACGCCCTGACCTGCGTCAACACTGCCGGTGGGCTACTGCAGGCCTATCGAGTACCAAAAGCAAACCAGGCATATACCATCAAGGCACTCACTAAACTGATGTCTGCCTACTGGATGCCTTAAGACATTGAGAGTAACCAAGGGACTCATTTTACTGGTGCAACGATACAGCTCTGGGCAGAAGAAAATAAGATTGAATGGTGATTCTACCTGCCATATAATCCAATGGGGGCAGGCCTCGTGGAATGTTATAACAATATTCTTAAGACTGCCCTGAAGACAGACTCCCAGTCCCTGCAGGGGTGGACAAAAAGACTCTACGAAATCTTGCGGGACCTGAATGAAAGACCCTGAGATGGCAGACCCAGTGCCCTGAGAATGTTGCAGACAACATGGGCCACCATGCTTAGGATCCAAATTACGGGCACTGATCATCAGGTAAGACCCTAGATTGGTAATGAAAATAGTCTTCTACTCCCTGACCCTGAGAATTTAGATCCAGGCACCCATAGAATAAAATGGCCTTGGAAGGTGCAGGTAGGACCCAAGTGGTGTGGCCTACTTGCACCTTGGGGGAGATTGTTGGAGGCGGGAGGCTTAGTAGTCCCTGCAGTAATAGGTACATGGCCTACTTTTGTGGTCAACACTCAGATCTTCATTGCTAAAGGGACTCCCATCATGTCCCAGTGGCAGATCAGGACACCCCCTTTGGTGACTGATACAGTTATGCAGCCGCAGACATCTGGCCAGAGTATGTGCTACAGGTGGCGAGGACATGCCCTAGTACAAGCTGAAGTGTTGACCTAGGATAGAAATACAGCCTGTGTCTTGCCCTGGAGAGCAGACCTCCCCTCTTGGTACCTCTGAAACATCTGTATTACTCCCCATGAGTCTTTGAGCTTTCAGGATCACTGGAAGGATCAGAATGCCATCAAAGCATTCCAGTGTTACTGTCAGATCATGTGCAACACCTGGTGATGGTCTACATGGGACTGATGGAACATAGGATGGACCTGCACCTCATGACTGCATGCCTCCAGTAACATCATTGAGCACTGGCCCATGAAAGAATATCAATGTTCACTAATCGTCACTCATCTTGAATTTTAACAACATGCGTCATGATGGAAATTTAAAAGCGTCACGATACATTGGATCTCTGTATTGGGAAAAGCTTAGCCTTTAGTCAACCTGATCATTGGTTTGTGCCGTCAAGGGGTGGAGTGTATGGGAACTGCTGAGTCACTGCCTGAACCTCTGGTTGATCACCTGAGGCAATTCATCTGTGCAATTCACTTGTAATGCCGGAAGGGGTGGAGCCTGGCTCCACCTCTCCTAGACCCATTTAAGAGCTGACTACGAGTGGGGAAAGATCTCTTTTGGAGATCTGTTCCACTGGAGTTTTCTATGTGAGCTCAGGATATGGGTGAGTGTACCTATTGTTTCTGTTTCCTGCTTTGGTGTAACAACTATGTAGCCAAACTCTCTGCTATACCTTAACATCTGTATGTTCATTAATTGTACACTTGGTGATAGGAAGAAGCAGAATTGTTGGATGAACAGGGAATATACATATATGCAGACATATATACATACAAGAGCAACAGGAGTAGGTTTTGTCTTCTCTAATCAAGTAATCTAGCTGCCGAGTGTCAAGGTCAAATGCTGCTTTGGTTCAGTTTATCAGCTTTTAGTTCAAGCAGACACTAAGTCAAGAATGGAACTAGAGGATGTTGCCTTTTAGAGTTTAAGTTATTTGCAAATACAGTAGGCTTCCTCCTGAATTGGAACTTCTGTGAAATGGGCACTGATCTTGGCTGTGGCTCAGGAATTCTATAGTGCTGTTGCTACTCTATTGGAGTCCCATTTTACTGCAGTAAATATTGTGACTTTAATTTAGCCCACAGTATTCTTGAGAACTTGGAAGTACTTCCTTTCCAGTATTTTTTTTTTTTTTTTTTTCCCCGTCTCAGAGTGTGGAAATAGCTGTTGCTTTATATTTAACTGCTAGCAGTCATTTCACATCTTCTAGGATGGTTTGGGTGTTCTGCTTTTTTTTCCCCTCAGATCTTGAAGTAGAAGTTCTGTTGTGAATACTGATGTTGCAATTAAAGGTTTAGTTATGTTGAGCCTCACCTGTACTTCCTGTTTGTGGATGTTGCTTTAGAGATTAATGGCAGTGTACTGTTGGTGCGCCCTATGTAAAACTAGCATAACAGCCATATAGAGCCTGGCATACTTTTTTACATAAAGTCTTCTGTTAAATGACACGCTGAGCAGGCAGCACTGAAAGCAGCTTTGAGATTTGTTTTTTTGTGTTTTTTTTTGTTGTTGTTGTTTGTTTTTGTTTTTTTTTTTTTGGACGGACTATATTTCCACATATTGATTTACCTTCTGCTTGAGGTAGTGCCACGTACTTGATAGAAGTTGCCAATATCTTTGGTGTAAATGCACTAAAATTGTATAAAAGAGGCTTTTTCTGTATAAAGGTGCTTTGAAGGGGTCTGCCATCTAAGCTACATCAGTCAACTATAAGGACTTGCTAACCTTTTGGACCTCAAGCAGGCTTTGTGCATAAAAAGGCAGTTTATTGGAAGATGTCTATAGCAATTGGCAGCTCTGTGGCTGCAGGGTTGTGCTTTCTCAAGGTGGGTCAGGATAACGAGTTCAGAAAGGACTGAACAAAGTGATCTTTGAGAAAGAGTAATTTAATCTGAAACAAGCTTTCCAGCTTCCTGAAATAGGATCACAGTGTTCTGATACTACTATTAATAAAATTTTGAACCTGAGCAGCTCAAATAGTAACTTGATGTTTTCCCACCAGTGTCATTAAATCTAATGTCTCCCTTTGAAAACTTTTTACTGGCAGACTGTGAAACTTCAGATAGCTTTGTGAGGGAGAGAGAGAGATGATAGTGGAAGCAGCTTGATAATTTCACTCAGTGGCTAAACTCTAAGGTGATACTGAAGCCAGCCCAACTATGATGAGGAGAAGTATTTTCAGTTTTGCCTTCAGAATAGGTCAGCTGTTACTCATCTTAACTACAGAGCAAATCTCTATCATGACGTAGATGCTTTGTCAGCTATGTCTTGTGACATTGAAGGCTAAAAGCATTGTTTTGGAGATGCAAGACTGTGTCACACCCAGAGGTAGATAAGCCCTTAGTTATAGGCTGGCTTGAGAGAAGTTTTAGTGGGAGATTGTGCTATGGGAGCAGCAGAACTGCAAAGGGAGGGGGGTGGAAAAAAGCTGGGAAGACTGCTTTTTCTTTTTTTTTCTTTTTTTTTTTCTTCCTCTTGCAGCAGAAGGATGCATGTAGGAGCAGTATGTTTAGAGCAATGGAGATGCCACTTTTGATACTACATGCAAGCAAGAAGCCTCCATTAAAGTAGAGCTAGAATAATCAGGGATTTTTATCCTTGTCCTTTGTCACTATAGAATAGAGTTAAGAGGAAATAAACTGGGAACTTTAAGATGCTTAATAGTGGTTATAGAAAACAAGAGGAGCTTTCAGGAATGTCAGTAGTATGCTTGTGCTATTTATGTAGTACGTTTGAACTTACTGCTGGAGTTTTGCTGCCTCAAACTTGTTTCTAATACAGTAAGTAAATAATTTCCATTTTAATGACAGACTGTTCAGGCTGGTGAAACTGTCTCCCAGATACTCTTGCCAATATATTTTACTACAGTATCTTTCATAAGCACAAACAAGTTCATTTTTGTAGATTTAGTGAACATAGAACGCTGGCTTCAGGAAGAGTTCTATTCTCTCTGTTAAATTTCCTGTTTCAGTGCAGCTTATTTGTACTTAGAAATATCTGGAATTATTGAACTTGCATGACAATGCAGAAATTCACCTGTTAAACTAAGAAAACATTAAAAAAAAAAAAAAAAAAAATCTCCTCCTTAGCAGAGGAGATTTAGCATTGGAGAGTTTAGCTTCCAGGCGTCCTGGGCAGGGGAGCTTAAATACCTTTGTCAGGGAGGAGAAATAGAACTACCAAAGCCACTTGACAGCTACTGAAGTAGCACCAGGAAGCAGAAATGCTTCCTAAATGCCAATGGTGAGCTGAAGTCTGAGCAGTTGCTGCTGCCTGCAAGAGTGCAGTGGAAGAATACCTACTTTTTCCTCTGAGACACAAGTTAGTGCCCTATCTTATTAAACTTGTTTCAATGAAAGTAATTCAAGATTTAACTCCTTTTTTTTTTTTTGTTTTTTAACCTTCGACTTTAAAATGTCCTTTTTTTAGTTCAGTCATTGGAAAATCACAAACTGGAAAAACAAATTCACTTCCCTTAAGAAATGGAGGAAAAATTCACTTTTGCATGTATATCATGATGAGGGAGATCCCTTTTAATCCTGCAGTTCTCAGTGATACTGAGCTGATGCCCTGTGATTATCCTGTTATTTTTTTTTTCTCTCAAGATAGCTATGTTCCAAAGGAGAAAACACCAGAGTGCCATTTGTTTATAGTACTTCAGGTGTGTATTAAGCCTCTTCAAAATGATCCATATCAAGTATGTCAAGACTTCCTAACATTGGTCATGCAATTTCTTTCCCTGAAGGATTAACAAAACATTCCACTTTGCTTAGAATTGCAAGATTATCTACTTGATGCAGTGTTCTTCCTTCACAAATAAAGATCTGCTGGATTATAAATGCTATTTAAGTTGTGCAAACCTTCACTGTGCCCTGTTCTGTTTGCAGCACAGTCCTTGTGTTCTCTGCTTGAACACTGGAGCTTGTCAAGCAGCAGAAATATATAGCTGCACACAGCCAGGCACTCTTGAACTCTGCAATTCACGAGTTCTCAGGAAGCCATGAAGAGGCAGCAGGTTTTTCTCCTAACACTTCAGAACTGGGTATCTGTAAAAGCTGAAGACCCTAGAAAGCAGGGCTCTATCAGGGAATTAAATGTTGGGTGACTGGAAAGTAAGCTGTAAGTATAGTTGGTTTTTTTTTTTTTTTTTTTTTTTTTTTTTTTGTTGGTGGTGCTGTGGTGGTGCTGTGGTGGTGCTGTGGTGGTGCTGTGGTGGTGCTGTGGTGGTGCTGTGGTGGTGCTGTGGTGGTGCTGTGGTGGTGCTGTGGTGGTGCTGTGGTGGTGCTGTGGTGGTGCTTATCACCAAGCCTTTCTGGTGTTAGAGATTGCCAGAGATTTTCCCAAGCAATGCTGATGCAGAGAGTGCTACATAGAGCAGGAACTTCTCTCCCTGCAATCCCCTTGGCTGCTTCTCTTCTCTTGAGATGGTGCAACTGTACAGTATGTAGAGGTGACACAATCTTATTACATTTAGTTATTGCATCAACGGTGAGATTTAGTTTTTCTGCCAGCATAGGTCTAACAAGGGAGGCGCTCTCTCTGTGCAGACTTTGTTCTTGCTGTATTATGTGTTATTATGTGTTAATGACTAAGCCTGCACCTATGCACATGGCACTAAATATCATTTGCATAGCTTTGGAAACCTTTATGTGGGTTTAGTTCTGTGTGTTCAATTCATCTTTTTCCCAGCCTCAACCCTCTAGCTCTTCTCTTCTGCCTTTAGAGGAAGGCTTAGCAGGTATGTGTCTGCTGTATAGATAGTGCTGGGGTTTTTTTGTTTGTTTGTTTTGGGTTTTTTTTTGTTTTTCTAGCAAATTTGGCTTCTCTGAGAGCTGCCTGTCTCACTTTTACTCACTGGTACCTGAGCACTTGAAGACTTCAGTTAGAATGTTTTCTGGTGAGAATTTACAAGGGTGATACCTTCCCATTGAACCCTTTCTTAGCTTGATCCTTTATCCCCTATCAATCTTGAAAGCTTTTTTTTTTTTTTTTTTCTTCTCTTGATAAAGGTTAGGAGGTTAGAATAGATAGCTATAGGCAACGGGAGCATGCCTGCCTTCAGTAAATATGAATATTCCTGTCAGAGAACAAGTTCTCATTCTTTAGAAAGAACATAGGGCCAAGGGTTAGGCTTAGTGTCTGAGGGTGTTCACATGCCTTCTGTGTGAATTCTTTCCATATTCTTGTTTAAAGTTGGCACTTGAAAGTAAACACCTCCCCATTTTTTGGAGGTAATTCAAGAATGTGTTGCCTTCTAGAAGGGACTTCACAAAGATAAGGCTTTCTTTTTTTTATTTTCATGCATGCTCAGCCTAAATGAAGTTCTGTACTTGCTAAGCTTTAAGCTTGTTGGTCTTCATAAAACTTTTTTTTTTTTTTTGTATTGTGTGTTGGTATATGTATCATTCCTTCTTTTGAGCTGTTCTTTTGATAGTTAAATGCTATTCAGATAAAAGAAAAGCACATGCTTGCCACAAACACAAGCCCTGTGTCAAAAGGAGCCTAGAGGGATACAGGCAAAAATGGTATGTCACAAAGTTAAATATTACCTAAAGCTTAACTGTGTTCTTCTGGGTCAGCACACAGCGATGTTGCTGTTTTAGTAGCCTTTATTTTCTACTTTCTGTGGGTGTGATAACTTGTTGTGTCTTTGCTCATGCTTTACAAATGAGATCATTCTTTCTAAACTCAGCGCTGTGGTACACTGAACAGTGTTTAATGTACACATCAGTGTTTAATGTGTTAACAATTTTTGCTGGCCCTATAATACATGGTAAAGTGCTTTTCTTTACATTGTGCATGTCTTTCGTAAGGCGTATGCAAGATCTGTTAGCCATGCAGTATCATTAGTCAGTTGGAATAAAACACGGGTAGAGTAGTCAGTGGAAAATCTGGTATTTGACACATCTGTAAACATATGGTATTTTCAGTATTATAAAAAAAAAAAAGCATGGCATTGTTCTCTTGTTGTACTTCAATATGCAAACAGAACTGTCAACAAGATGCCTCACATCAGGAAGTGACTTTAGTCTTATTTTGGTATCCCTGTCTTCATGCTGGTTCTGTCAACACCTTGTTAAATAACAGCACCAAATCCTTCGATTAATTCTGGTGTTGGTAGGATGAATGTATTAGTTGGTTTTACTTACTTGTTCCTACAGCTTGCAGGAACAGCAGTTCTTGCAATAGGATTATGGCTTCGGTTTGATGTACAGACCAAAAGCATCTTTGAACTGGAATCCAACAACACGACATTCTATACAGGTAAGTTGTGCAGTAACTCAATGGGATAGATCACTGTTTTGCTCATAGAGTCCCTGGCTACTTTTTTCAAGGCTAAAGACAAAACAGTCCTAATCAACATCTGTTGGGCTGAAAGTAGCTTGCTTTTGCTTGTGCTCTGAGCCTCTGTGCTAAGAGCAGCAGTGGTTGACTCTGCATGCTGTTGGTAAGCACTTGGGAACTTCTGATAAGCACAGGAAATGTGTCCTGCTGATGATTCTCTCAGATAAGTCAGTCAGATTTCACTCTAAAATAAGTTATTAGTGACATTAATAAGTACTTTTTCCCTGAATTGACAAGGCTTACAAAACCATAACTGCATCCCTTCCCATCTCTGAAGAAATATACATACTATTGTGAAATTCCTACAGCTCTTTGCATACTAATACTGAAAAGGATGTACAATGTCTTAATCTTTCAGCATTCATTATGGTCAACCTAACCAATATAGTTTTAGGACAGGTAGAATTTACTCCTTGGTATTTTCTGATCTAATAAGATCTCAGTCTAGGTTACCTGCCAACAAAGCCTGGTAACTCTTAAGATATTGATCTCTACAGCCACTGTCAGGCTTGGACAGAAGAACAGGTGTTCCTTCATTTACCATCAGTAGATGCTCAAACCCTTCGTGAAACAGAGTAGCTGAGCTTGAATGTCCCAAACAACTGCATACAAAGAAAATTAAAATATGTTTCTTGCATGTATCTGCCATCATATGCTTGGATGCTTGTTGTACGTACATACTTTGTGTCAATATACTTCATATAGGATGTGGGCTTGTGGGCTACACTATTAGCCATCCCCAACAGGTTTGTCTTAGGCAGCTTTCTTGTGATTTAGGTACTTGAACTGTTTTCAGCATCCAAACAGATATCCGTGGGGTCAGTGAAGACAATGTAAGCCATCCTGGTATGCACTGTTCACACTGTAGCTTTTGGGTATCACGTAGTCTTGCAGAGAATACTGTTAATACTGAGTTGAGTTTTTTTAGAGACAGTAGCTAGGATAAATAATTTATACTTGTGCATCACCATGAATCAGCTGCAGTCCACAAGCATGCTAGCTGGCAAGAAAGCCTGTATTCCACTGATATGGCAGTAGAGTGGGTTCTTCCTGCAGCTGCCCAGATTTCCAGATGCTTTTAACTGGACTTTGAGAGGGGAAGAGAGCTAAACATAGCTGAGCTCAATTTTGAGTAATCTAAAACAACCCTTTCACCTCCTAAAATTTATGGCAGTTTTGTAATGTTGTATTTGAGCCTATGGCTGAATACATGAAACAAACCTATTTAAAGTCTGTAGGTTAAACTGAGTTAAGAAAGAGGTAAATATGAATTAATGGCTTGACATTTTTACAGAGCTAATTTCTGGCGGTAGCTTTCAGTGGGAGGTTAAAAGAGTCTGCCAGCTTGCAGCTAATAAGAAAGCAAAGGGAATCTGGTTTTCACCATCTGAGTAATAGTATTTTTTTAATAATAAATTTAATAGTTTTTTTTTTTTTTTTAAACTAAAAGAAGGAAGATTTAGGTTAGATGTTAGAAGGAAACTGTCAGAGTGGTGAGACACTGGGACAGGCTGGCCAGAGAAGTTGTGGGTGCCTCATCCTTACAGGTACTGAAGATGACTCATGCCCATAGCAGGAGGATAGGAACTCCAAGATCCCTTCCAACCAAAGGCATTCTATGGTTCTATGAAATTACCTCAAAGGCCTTCTATTCTACTATAAGTAAAATTTAAAATAAGAGGTTCTTATGAATTCTTTCCCCCTACAATGGGAAGAATTTCAACTGAGTTTATAAAGTGCTGTAATTGTTGATAAGAATAATCATTTACATAGACTTAATCAAGTTAGATGTTTATTTTGGCAGGTAATACTTACTTGTTTATTAAAGAATCACAGAATGGCCCTGCTTGGAAGGGACCTCAAGGATCATGAATCTGTAACCCCCCTGCCACAGCAAGGCTGCCAATACTAGACCAGGCTGCCCGGGGCTCCATCCAATCCGGCCTTGAACACCTCCAAGGACAGGGCATCCACAACCTCTCTGGGCAGCCTGTTCCAGTTCCTCACCACTCTCTCTGTAAAGAATTTCCTCCTGACATCCAACCTAAATCTCCCCTCCCTCAACTTAAAACCATTTCCCCTTGTCCTGCAGTATCAACGCTTTCAAAGACTTGATTCCCCTCTTATTTGTAGGCTCCCTTTAGGTATTGAAAGGCTGCAATGAGGTTACCCTGCAGCCTTCTTTTCTCCAGGCTGAACAAGCCCAGCTCCCTCAGCCTGTGCTCGTAGGGGAGGTGCTCCAGTCCCCTGATCATCTTTGTGGCTCTCCTCTGGACCCTCTCCAACAGCTCCATGCCTTTCTGGTACTGGGGGCTCCACACTTGGACACAGTAGTCCAGATGGGGCCTCACAAGAGCAGAGTAGAGGGGGACAATCACCTCCCTGTCCCTGTTGGCCAATCCTCTTTTGACAGAGCCCAGGATACCATTTGCTTTCTGAGCTGCAAGAGCACACTGCTGGCTCATGTTAAGTTTTTCATCCATCAGGACCCCCGGGTCCTCTTCTGCAGGGCTGCTGTCTGGAAGGACTGCTCCTTCCAGTCTGTATGGATGCCTGGGATTCCTCAGTCCCAAGTGCAAAACTCTGCACTTTGCTGTGTTGAACCTCATCAGATTCACCCGGGCTTGCCTTTCTAGCCTCTCAAGATCCCTCTGAATGGCATCCCTTCCTTCTACCTTGTCAACCACACCACTCAGCTTGGTGTCATCAGGAAATTTGCTGAGGGTGCACTCGATTCTGTCATTGATGTCATTGATAAAGATGTTAAAGAGTACTGGTCCCAAGAGAGACCCCTAGGGGACGCCGCTCATTACCGGCCTCCACCTGGACATAGAGGTATTGATGACCTCCCTCTGTCTGTGGCCTTTCAACTAATTTTTTTATCCGTTGAGTGGTCCACCCATCAAGTCTACATTCCTCCAATTTGGAGATAGGGATGTGGTGGATTGAGTCTCTGAACACAAGAACTGTAATTCTCGTCTGTATTGATAGAAAGAGAAGCTGGATATGAACCAGCAGTATACGATTGCAGCCTGGAAGGCCAACTATGTTCTGGGCTGCATTAAAAGAGGAATAGTTATCAGGGAGAGGGAGGTGATTGTCCCTCTCTACTCAGCTCTTGTGAGGTCCCATCTGGAGTACTGTGTCCAGGCCTGGGACCCCCAGCATGAGAAGGAAGTGGACCACTTGGAACAGGTCCAGAGGAGGGCCACTAAGATGATCAGAGGGCTGGAGCACGTATCTTGTGAAGAAGGGTTGAGGGAACTGGGCTTGTTTAGCTTGGGGGGAAAAAAAAAAAAAAAAAAAAAAAAAAAGGCTTCAGGGAGACCTCATTGTGGCCTTCCAGTATTTGAAGGGAGCATCTAAACTGGAAGGGTTACATCTGTTTACAAGGGAGGATTGTGATAGGACAAGGGGGAATGGTTTTAAACTAAGATAGGGAAGATTTAGGTTAATATTAGGAGGCTTTACACACAGAGGGTGGTGACATGCTTGCGTTGCAAAATGAGGTTGTGGATGCCTCATCCCTGGAGCCCATTCAAGGTGAGGCAGGATGTGGCTCTGGACAGCCTCGTCCAGTGGTTGGCCACCTTGCACATAGCAGGGGGGTTGAAACTAGATGATCATTGTGGTCCTTTTCAACCCAGGCCATTCTATGATTCTATGGAATGTCAAAGTAATTTTACATGTGTTGTGTTAGTTTTTTTGTTTGTTTGTTTGTTTGTTTTTTTACCATTTTTCACCATCTAAGTGATACTTGTCATCCATCCCATGGGACCTGTGTTTTCTTAGCTATCTCTTAATGCTTTTAATAGCTAGCAGCTGAAGAGCTGTAATTCTTAACTTGATAGTTCCCAAGATTAGGAGATATTTGGGCATAGGAATACTTAGTCCAGAACCGTTTGCTCCCTCCTCTTTAACACTTAAATTCTGGGCAAAATGGTCTATAGGTTTAACCACTTGATTTAAAGAAGTATCTGCTTTCAAAAAGGCAGAAGATTTTGAATTTCTTTTAGCTGTTAAATTAGGCAGCTGAATATGACACTGTGGCTGGTAAAATAATTCGGTAATTCTTGACAGACAAGTAGGGTACAAAAGCATTTAAAGCTTTGACAGATTGTACTGTCCACTTCCATTAGGAGAACAGGTACTGAAAGAATTTTGAGTTCTTGATAAATCACTAGTTCCAACTAACTGCAACACTTTTATCCAAAAATAAGTATATTATTTGGTCTCTGAGCCAATTTTTAATTGTGTTTATGGTTTTATTTTGATGGCTTTATCTTGTACTTTTTCTAAATTTTGTGAAACTGCAGCAGCGGTGCACATCACCTGTTGTAAGTTGAAGTTCTTGTATTCATAGCGTCTCAAAGTTTGTGGGGAAGTTTACTGTGAAAATTAAGTTCACCTCCTTTTTGCTGAAAACAACAAATTTTTTAAAAGCTATTTATAGAGCAACTAACTTGCAGCTGAGGATTCAACTAGTTTGTATGAATTTTTGTTTCCTTTCCAGGAGTTTACATACTAATTGGAGCTGGTGCACTCATGATGCTGGTTGGCTTCTTGGGATGCTGTGGTGCGTTGCAGGAATCACAGTGTATGCTTGGACTGGTAAGCATGAGTGCTTAACAAAGTAGTGTTTAAACTTAGCTGTCTGATCAGAAAGGAAGGATAATATTGGCTGTGGAGAAAAAGGGAACAAATGCTAATTGGATGGGTCTCACAATGTTTTAATTTATGGTCATATACATAATGATAAAATATTTAAATAATGATATTTAGTTTCCATTTCTGGCACTAAATCAAAATGTATGTTACATTTGAATGCAAAATGACCAAGTTAATGACATTCAGACACTGAGGTGTATCAAGAGAATTGGAGAATGTGTGAATGCAGGACTAAAATTTTGGTAAGATTAATGCTGTTTATTAAACAGTCCTAAATTCTGAATGCTTTGTTGAGATATTTGAGACCAGTACTGGAGTATTATAAGCTCCTCAAAGCAGAAAACTTCTGCTGTTCATAATCACTGTGTGAAGTAGTCTAGTTGACAAGTGTTCTTCAAATCAGTTGTCAGAGAGTAACCCCATTGTTTTTAGACTGCTGGGACTTACTGAGTTCAAGTATGTTTGTGCCTATTGTGGAACTATTAATTCAAATATGGTTAATAGGACTAATATAGCTGGTGGAAAAATAATTCACTTCCTGTATAATGATTTGTAAAGCTTTACCTTTCTTGCAAAATTATGCTGCTAGTTCAGAATTACCATAATGGACACCTCTTTTTAAAGTGCCTTTAAGTGATCAGTGTTCTGAAACTGATAGTCAGTTGAATATGGTGTTACTTCTATTTGTGTTAGAAACAAGTGACTATCAGCACTGAAGTTAGGCTCTCAGGTGGCATGCTAGGTATTAAGTTACGACTTGTAGAGCAATAAGGGTGACAAACCAGAGAAAGCATGTTAACTATATGATGTCTGTGTGACCTGTGTAACTTCAAGTCTAAATTAACAAATAATTGGCTTTAATTAACACTGATCAAAAAAGCAGGACTCCTGCTTAGAAAACATAGCCAAGCTTACTGATGCTGTCAGAAGTAAGTGTTGAATGTATGTCCTATTCCCTGTTTTCAACCAGAGTTCCAGAACTTCAGCTAAAAACAGAATGAGTGATAATTCCCACAAGGCTTAACACTGGGGACCAGACAAGCTTTCAAGGATGTCTGCTACTGTTGGCTTTTGTTTTTTTTTTTTTTCTTTTTTTTGGTGTTATGGCATTGGTTAATGATGTGATCTTGCTCTTCTAGTTCTTCGTCTTCCTTTTTGTGATTTTTGCCCTTGAAATTGCTACTGCCATCTGGGGATTTGCAAATAAAGAAAAGGTAGGTAGCTGTTAAGTAACAACCAAAGTGATCAACAAAACCTTATCTGAGATCTCAGAGTGAGTGTTCTTCACTTGAAAGGCCATGTATGTTAGTTACTTATTCTTTCAATGTCACAGCTTCTAAATGCAAATATTTTTCCCAAAGCTACAGGTCTTAAATGATATTGTAGTTTTCTTAACCTTTAATACTGTCCTTCTGGGGTTTCTGTGCAGAAAATCTCTCCCTTATAGATTTTTGCCCAGCAAGCACCTTCCATCTATGTCTCAGCCCAGCAAGCAACTTCTTTCAGCATTTGGGCACAGTAAATTCTGGTCCTACAGCCTTTGGACTCAGCAAGCCTATTCCTTCTAGCTTTCAATATGGCTGGCCTCCATCCTTCTGCTTTTTGGCTCAGTAAGACAACTTCCTCTTGGCTTTTAACCTAGGATGCCTTCCTTCTGGGTTTCAGCACGCTAGCTTAATTCCTTCTGGTTTTGTACACAGCAAATTCACTTCCTTCTTGCTTGGGGCCTAGTAAGCCCCCTTTCTTCTGGGTAAGGACCAAACAAACCCCCTTCCATTTGGGTATGTGGACAGCAAGCCCCCCACCTTCTGTGTTTCAGAGCAGCAAGTCCCCTACATCCTGTGCGTGTCCAAAAAGTCTCCTTCCTTCTGCATTTTGGACCAGAAAGCCCCATTCCTTCTTACTTCTGGCCCATCAAGCTATCTTTCTTCTGGGTTTTGGCCCAGCAACCAAACGTCCTTCTGCGTTTCACCCCAGCTATTTCACTTCCACCTGGCATGGGGCCCAGCAGGCCCTTGTCCATTTGGGTTTAAGTGCATCAAGTGCTGTTCCTACTGGCTTTGTGCTTCTTTTTAAATTTGAGGACTCGTGCCTGTTCAAATGTAGATGTCTAGTGAAAAATGTACCAGTAATAATCAAATATTGATAATCTATTTTAATTTGGAGGAGGAGGGAGAAGGCTTGTTGCAGCCAAATTGAGAAACTAATTACTGAATTAAAAAGACTGTAGCAGAGGGGCCAGAATCCAAGGTGCTATTGTCCCTTACAGGTGCCTTCTGAATGTCTGCTTCAATTCACTTCACTGTGAAGTGAAGCAAGCCTTTGGTAAGGTCTTAAAATTTCTAGGAAGGAGCTTGCAGTTAAAGGCTGAATATCATATCTAAGCCATGACTGTTCTGTATTCGTGCCTCCAGTTGCTATCTCCTCCTCAGGTATCTCCTTTACCACTATGGATGTTCACGTGCTCTGAATATTGCCTTGTCACTATGTATGAGTTTACGTAACAGTAAGGCATCGAGCTGGCTGCAGTTTTGGTGCAGATCCTGTGGTGAGGCCTTCCATACCAGTCAGGCTGGGAGTACCACAGATTATTGCTGCTCTAACAGCTCAGAAATAGGAGGGCTTTATGCTGAATCACCAGCATCATGTAAGCAAAACAAGCCAATGGAAGGTGATGCAGACTGCAAGAATAGAAATGTTGGTAGATGCGTTGGCTTCCTATGCCAAGGAAACTCTAATGTAGGTTTGGCTCTAGACTTTTTGGCAAACATTTAAAAAATAGCAAAAATAATTGAAACTCTTTGGATATACTTTGTAGAATAGAATTCAATTCTGCTTTTTAATGCTCAGATTTTTTTTTTATTTCCAAACTGAGTTCTTGGTTCAGGATTGTTTTGCTGCTTATATTATGCAGCTGGGGGTTGTAGTGACTTCTGGAGTACAGCAATGAGTAGGAAATAATTCTGTGTAACTAATGGGGAAAACTTAGTTTTCTCAATCCTCTTAGAAGCTCATAGTTCTGAAGGGAATCTGTGAAGATTATCTGTTTGGGTCAATGTTTTAATGTAAGTACACCATTTAGGCTTACTTGTTCCAGGTGAGTAATGCTGTCCACCCAGTTTCCGCTCTCTATTTCTGTATGTCAAAAGGCCATGTATTGTAGATTGTAGAAATTTTAATGACTACTCTATCCAAAACAAGTTATTAATCAAGGTAAAACATTAATAGAATACGACTATCTATCTTGTAGGTTGTTGAAGAGTTACAGGATTTCTACAGAGAAACCTATGAAAAGAGATCTCAACCAGCTGCCAGAGAAACCTTGAAAGCATTCCATTTTGCTGTAAGTAAACATAGTTAGTATTAAACTAGGTAGTTATACTGTTTGACACTGTTTTCTAATAAATCCAGAATCCTGTACAAATCTAGTACCTTACTAACTAGAAGAAACCAAAGGAGAATTGGTAAGAAATGCAGCTCTTGTATACTGAATTCACTAATGGTATACTTTTTTTCCCTTTGAAATAAGTAGGACTAGTTCTTTTCCTAAATAAATTTAAAAGCAAGCTGAGAAACTCTAGAGTTCTAGCCCTGATCTGAAAGTACCACAATATGTGTAGTTGCATGTGTTTAAAAAGTTAATCTTTTGCCTATAAGCAGTACCAAGCTCCCCCCAAAATGTGTACATGTGTATATTTAATGAGATTAAGTTCTTACTTTTGGAATCTTATATTTTGCTATAAACCTTGTTTTAAAATCCTTTTACATTAATCAGATTTGCAGGACTTCTAAGCAAACTACATAAGATCTGTAATAATAGCTATTGTAATCTAGCTCTTTTTTTTAAGCAAGTATGGAGAGGGGGAAAAAAAAATGTAACTTGGTTTTCTCTTCCTGTTTTCTGTTGTAGCTGAATTGCTGTGGTATTACTGGAGGTCTTGAGCAGCAGTTGATGGACACCTGTCCAAAGAAGACCTTGCCTGAGTCACTTACTACAATGGTAACTCATGACCTAACTCTTCAGTCATTCTACCAAATGAGAATGAGAAACAGTTCTCTGAATAAAACCTTCCAGTCCATGAAAAATGCCTGTCATTCTTGATAGGCAGCCTATCCACACAGTCAATCCACTTGTACAAAATATACAGTCTCCCTGTAGAAGGAACAAGTGAGATGAGCGGGAAATCAGTACTTAGTAGATACATGCAGATGTATGGTGTTGAGGCCTATGTCATTAAATTCAGGGGCACGATGAACAAATTAATGCAAAAACTTCACGTAACACACTCCAGAGTTCTGTTGTCAGGACTGCTGCTACCATGAAGTGACTTCTTGATATGCCCTAATGCTGTTGCCTCTCTTCCTTTGGGAGGAGAACATGAGAAGGGAGCAAGTCTGAAATTTCAGTGAGAAATTTGGCATTTTTGAAAACAGGAGATAGGATAGATAGTGCACTAGTGTCTTGCTTGAGTGGTTATATCATAAACAAATTCTCTGAATCAGATTCCAGTGTTGAAATAGTGCTGCAGTGCCACAGAGAGGAGAGGCACTTTTATAGTTCACAGAATAACCAAGGTTGGAAAAGACCTACAAGTCCAGTCCAACCATCCACCTATCACCAATAGTTCTCACACAACCATATCCCTCAACACAAAATCCAAACGTTCCTTCCACTGACCTCCTGGGTTGGTGATTCCACCACCTCCCTGGGCAGCCCATTCCAGTGTCTGACCACTCTTTCAGAAAAGTAGTATTTCCTAAAGTCCAGCCTAAATATTCCCTGGCATGGCTTGGAGCCATTCTCTCTAGTTCTATCACCAGTTACACAAGAGAAGAGGCTGACCTCCAGCTCACTACAGCCTCCCTTCAGGTAATTATAGAGAGCAGTAAGGTCTCCCCTGAGCCTCCTCTTCTCCAGACTGAACAATTCCAGCTCCTTCAGCTGCTCCTCATATGGCCTGTGCTTCAGACCCCTCACCAGCTTTGTTGCCCGTCTTTGAACCTGCTCCAGGGCCTCAATGTCTTTCTTGCAGTGAGGGACCCAAAACTGGACACAGTACTCGAGGTGTGGCCTCGCCAGAGCTGAGTACAGGGGGACAATCACTTCCCTGTCCCTGCTGGCAACGCTGTTCCTGATGCAAGCCAAGATGCCATTGGCCTTCTTGGCCACCTGGGCCACACTGCTGGCTCATGTTCAGCCGAGCATCAGTCAGTACCCCCAGGTCGTCTACGCAACCTTCCAACTACTCCACCCCAAGCCTGTAGTGTTGCCTGGGGTTTTTGCAGCCAAAGTGCAGGACCTGGCATTTGGCCTTGTTGAAACTCATCCCATTGGCTTCAGCCCAGCTATCCAGCCTGTCCAAATCCCTCTGTAGGGCCTTGCTACCCTCAGGCAGATGAACACTTCCAGCCAACTTGATGTCATCTGCAAACTTACTGAGGGTGCACTCAGTGCCCTCATCCAGGTTATCAGTAAAGATCTTGAAGAGGACAGGCCCCAGCACCGGCCCCTGGGGAGCACCTCTTGTGACAGGTTGAGCAGATAAGCTCAAACAAGCAAATAAATCAGTGTTTCACTATGCATGAATGCTAACAAATATGGTTTCCTTTCAGCCATGCCCTAAAGCCATTGATGATGTCTTTAATACAAAACTGAATGTCATTGGAGCAGTTGGCCTTGGTATTGCTGTGATAATGGTGAGTTTGCAGGTTATGGGGTTGCTGCCTGGCCAAGGCTGCTTTGAGTACAAGTCTATTGAACAGTGCCTGACATTAACTACAGTCTGTGAGCCTGTTCTGCTAATCATGAGGACCCGTAAGATGAAGTTGTATGCTGTGGGTCCTTGAAACAACTTGATGGGTGGGGTACCTAGGGACGCTATGCTACTTTGGATTAGGATCTGCCTCCTTGTAGCTTTAGCATTGGTTAACTTGTACTGAGTGAGTGTGGGGTGTGCAGGTTGTAAACATAGGCTTAGCAATATGAACAGTTTATTTCCTCTGTAATTGACCAGGAGTCTGAAATAACAGCGCTAATAAGAAAACTTGCACTTGTTTCCTTTCTTGGGAGGCAAATATTATGCAGATGCAACAACGTACGTTGGGAAGATTCAATCTTTAAGAGATTGACTTGAATTTGTATTTGATTTGTTTTGAAGTACTGAGGGTAAGGGGGATTAGTGAGAATTAGCTGAAATTTGGGGATCAGAGTGAAAGGAGGCCTGGGGGCATAAACTGCAAAATAAGTTGTTAGCATGCATTTTGAGCCAGGAAGTATCTATGCTTTTTTGCATCTTGATAAGAATGTTTTTTTCCCCATTCTGATTTCTAATGAGTTTGTTTTCTTTACAGATTTTTGGCATGATATTCAGTATGGTTCTTTGCTGTGCTATCCGCAGAAACAGAGAAATGGTCTAAGGGCTGTAAATCCAAGGTGTCTGCACTATAAAATCTGTCATTAACTCTAGTGTTCTCAAAGCATTTCTAAAAGAAAATTGTATGTTACCTTTTTAATGCTTTATTTGGTACTGATATAGGTTTGCTTTTTATGCTATAGGTTAAAATGATAAAGTTATATTTGACTCAAGATGAATACTGTACACAAACCATCTGTTTTTCTTGAAATTTAAATAATTTGGATATATTTATGTTTAAGGCAATTTGATACTTAATAAAGAGTAAGATGTATTTTATGTTTGGGGAAAATCATTGATGGAGCAGAGCCTGATTGTATGGGGCTCTGAGCAATTTGGTCTAGTGAGAGATGTCCCTGCCCATGGCAGAGGGTTGAAAGTATATGTTCTTTATAGGTCTTTTCCTACCTGAACCATTCAGTCATTTTATGTTTATTTTGATGTAATTTTAGGAGACAATTCCAAAGAATGCAAAGATCTTTCATGATTTGCTTTATTGGTACATACTGTGGAAGATCTCATAATTTCTCCCTTTTTCAGTGCTTGAACAAAACCAGGTATGTTTTTTGTACTGCTGCAACATCATCTTCATATAGGATGTTAGAAGATAACTGTCATACTAATGATACACAGGCAGTGGTAGCCTGCTGTGCTAGGCTCTACTCTGATGCCAAGTGGGCTTTCTTAGCTTGTGTCCTGGCATAACTCTGTCCCCTGGCATCTGATATGGCCTCAGTGTCTTGATAAAGCAAATTCCTATAGCGTGTACTCACACGATTTTTCTCAGTGGCTGACTTTGTGCATTGTCTATCCAGAACTACTGATGTACACAGTCTTAAAGGCCAAATCTCGAATTCTGGGGAGGGAACACAAGTTCTACTAGAAGTTAATGTACTACTCTGCAGTCGCTGCTCATAGCAGCGACAAGCACTGTGGCTGTTGTGTTTCAGACTAAAAGTGAAAAATGGGACAGAGCAGCTGTGCTATTGCGGAAACCCTAGCTGAAAAGTTACTAGTTTTCCTATCCTTGCAATCTAAATGGCCTTTATAGTGTTTAAAATACCTCTTGGTGGGATACAAACCTCAGAGCTTTGCCAGTTGCTGTGCTATACCTGCATGCTATGTTCAGCTCTAGCACCTCATATATGTTCTTAGGAGTTTCTGGTGTTTGCCATCTGTGTATTTTAAATTTTTCAGCACTTCCCACTTTTCTCTCATAAAGAGGTTCTCTTTTGACATGGGAAGTGTCAGAATTGTGGAGGTTTGGGGCTCTAACTGTAGCAATAGATTAATATCTGGATGTCTTGCCTTGTTGATAAATTCAAAGCCTTATGCAAATACAAGCTTTCCTCTGTAATCTGTTCTCTAGTACATACTGTCTTCTTAAAAAAGATCACTCTAAAGGAAGTGGGAAGCATGCATTTAGTTTAGACTTGAATTAACTCAGTTATAAGCTCATGAGAGAATGTTGTTGATAGCAGGAGTGCAGGTGAATAGCATGAGCTGTGGTGGTAGCTCTCAAACTGATGTAGAATTCAACTGAATACCTGGAAGGATATGTTTGCACCTGTTTGCTAAAGAACCTAAATGAGCATTTTCTGTACACACTAGTCTTTATTTTACAATACTGCCTTCTTACAGTGTTTATGGCAACGTTTCATGGTTGTCTGCCATCAAACTCTTTCTGGAAGTACTACAACCCAACCTTCAGCCCTTCTTGAACATTCTATATGTGCTGGTTTGAGTTTTCTGTAAATCTTTTTTCAAAGACAGCTGATTATAGTTACTGATGGTTACTTGATTATTACTTTCCTTTTAGCAGAAACGTGAATTATAGGTGTGATATCTGGTTTCAGTCCTGCTAAGACCTTAAAGCTGTTATCAAATCGATACATCTCAAACAACTGCTTCTGAGGCAGCTGGCTTTTCAGGCAGCAACTAGGTAGATTTCCTGAAGAATTTGCTTCTAAGTAAAAGCGATACCACTTTTTTAATTAAAAAAAGGCTTTCTTGTACTGTCCCTCTGAGCAGAGGGTGAGTTTCTCATCTTCAAATCAGATTAGGTGTATCTGAAAGATACTTGCTTGGAATGGCATATCTCAAGAGATAACTGATAATGGGTGTAAGTCCTGGGTAAGGCACTAACATAACACTGATCATTGAACCATCAGATGAATGGTAGGCAAAGATAGCATGAGCTGTTGAAATGCATGTGGCAGAGAATAACTTGATGCTAGTTTTTGCAGTGTTCATGAGGAAACATTGATAAGCTTTGTACTGCATTGCTCTGAGGCTGCTACAAGTTGTGCCTGCTATCCACTGCTATGAGGAAAATCAAAGGAAAATGAAGTCAAGGCGCTAGAAGATATGGCTATTTATTTGTTGTAAGCTAGCCAAGGACAGCTGGGAAAAGGCGTACATAAAATACGGAAATTTGCTCCAAGAAACAAACAGCATATCTGCTGCTATGTACTCAAAATATGTCCTTGCCACTTGGCCAAATCTTACAAAGTTCTTGGACTGGATTGAGGCTTTCCTTAAAAAATGTATATATTTTTGACCACTTTCAAAGTCAGACCTAGTCTGCCTCAGAAATTAAGGGAGGCCTCAAGATAGCTACATGGTTGGCGATGTTGTCAGAAAGTGCATTAACATGGAGAGAACTTGGGTTTTGCACAGGAGCAACACTTACCACTACAGAAGAGGTTCCTTTTTATAGTGGAGCTAGGAGGGACAACTGTGGCACAGCATATTAGCATATTGTCATTTTAAGGGAGTCCTAGTATATTAACAATTGAGTCAAGTGCAAAGAAAAAATAACAGCAGATCCCTGAACTGTGGAAACAGTGAGAGATGTTGGAAGAAGCTGCCAGTAAAAGAAAGGTGTGAGCCTAACAGACTCACTGTGGGAAGAACTGTCAGATTGTATTCTGACAATTTGCTGAACTATAGTTCAGCAATTAGTTTATTTCTAAAGGGGGTAGAAAATGTCTGACAGGGAGATACTGTTTTTAGCTACAGTATGATCTGAAAAAAGAAATGTTTCAGCAGCAACACCATGAACTTACGTTGACAGGCTATCTGGATCAGGATGATTCTGTATCCCTTTTACCTGTCAGCCCAAATACTGTAGAGCATTTGCAGACAGTTCTTAAGAACTGGTTGTACATCTGCCCTATTCTACATTTCCTGCTGGATCTACAGTTCAAGTGAGTGTCACAGGATCTGGCTAGGAGCAACAGGAAGGGGAGGTAGATAGAAAAGAGTGACAGGGACTGAAATCATAGTGCTAAATGTGAGTCAAATTCCTGTTTATGGGGAGTGTCTAGTTGGGACCCCAAGAGGGCCTGGTGAGGGGATTTCTGTCCCTCAGGGGAAAGCTGCTTGTCCAACAGAGTATTCACAAGCACTAGCTAAGTAAAACCCAGCTTGGACTCTTCTGTGTTTCTATGTTAAGAGGGTGGCTTTTGCCTACAGCCACTATATAATTAGGATGATTATAAAATAGTAACCTCTTCAGTTTCTGCTTCTTGGCAGCTCTGAGGAAATGACCTAATTTGAACTGACCTAATTCAAACTGTCAGCATTGAGAACCTTGGTTCCTACCAAAAGTCACTTTTAAATGAACCTAGAACATGTAGGCAGCTTCCAGACTTCACTGGCAATAATAATTAGTGAGATTTTCCACTGCTGGATACAGGCTTTCACACATGCGTCTCCTACAAAAATGAATCTACAAGGCAGCCTTTTATGGCTGTTTGAATGCTTCTCTTCTCTAGCTGGCTATTTGACATTCAATTCAGGCTGAAAACTATTTTTTGCCCTGTTCTCCATGTTGACATTTAATTGCTAACTTACTATGTGCTGAGGGCTTGCACTTCTGCTTTATCCCACCAAAGAAATGGCTCATGCAATGTCATCATGAAGCATCAACCTTAGCCTGCCATGCCCTTCTTATGACAAGAATTTTAGGTTTGAGCTTCTGCTCTGGGGGTTGGAGAGAGAGGTTTTTTGGCTTTGTAGGAATGAAACAGCATACAAACTGCACCATCAGCTTATGCATACGCTGCTGCTCCTGGAGAGCTGGGGCAGTGCTCAGCAGTCTTTTCTAAAGCCACGCCTCACCTCAGTGATGCAGTCCTTTGAGGATGGTAATTAGAAGAATCCTTCTTAATTGTTATCCTTTACTCATCTGCTGCTGTGCCGAAGTGCTTTGATGTACATTCTGGCATGATTCCCCTTGCAGGAAAGATTCTGAGCAGGGCGACTAACACCTCCAAATTACAGGTTACATCCCATCCTTGGACAAACAATAGGAGGAGAGATGTGGTTCCTTGTCAGCAAGTCATGATTCATGCTCCTAGGAGGCCGTTCCTACTGAGGAAGCTGTACACTGCAATGAGGCCTCGCTTCAGTCTCCTCTAAAGAAAATGATTGTGCTTTTTTCTTTCTTTTTAAATTTTTGTTGGGGGCTATGTGAGCCCCCAGACGCAGACTGCACCTGTGGGACAGAAGGGGATTTTGCTCCTTCTCCAATCCCTCTTGCATAGTCCATATCTTCAGCCTTCGTCCTGCACCATACTTGAAGGTTTTTGCACATCAAAGAATGCTCTTGAAAAGAAAGTAACATGTCAAACATGGTGTAAATGGATGGAAGATGGCAGACAGTCAAATCCAACTCATCCTCCACTAGTGTAAATCATGCTTTAATGGGTGAGGTGAATTAATGAGGTCTTTTCTTGTAGAAGCAGAAAGCATGACATACTGTGTGCCTGCTATCCTCCAGCAGGGCAACAAGGATTTGAGGCTTTTTTGCAATTTATGAGGGGAAAATGTCTGGGATTCTGCCATTCAACCTATCAGCTGCCTGCCCACTGGCAGGTCCAAGGAAGCAAATAGTAATTAAAAAATGCAAAGTTCCTTCAGTTTTACTGCAGAGGCTGGGCTGACCCTTACTTTCTGTAGGGTAGAGAGAACTGTTAAGCTTAAAGAGATCCATAGGATCGCAGAACAGGCCAATTTTGTGTTGACCTCAGGAGGTCTGACCATCTATTCAAAGCAGAGTCAGCCATGAGGTCAGGACGGATTAAACAAGGCTTTATCCAACACAATCCTGAAAACCTCCAAGGATGAGAACTGCACAATGTCTTACAGAAATCTAATCCACTGCTTGGTTGTCTTCTGGAGGAAAAGCTTTCCTTACAAGAGTTTGAACTTCTCTTGGTTCAACTTATGCTAATTATCTGCCATCCTACCACTATGTTCCACAGTGAGGCTGCTGGCTCTGTCTTTTTGGTAACCTCACAGGTATAGGGAGGGTGTAACTAGCCCCCACCATTCTTCTCTTCTGCAGGTTGGTAAAGCGTCATAACTTCAGCATCTTCTCACAGTGAACATGCTTCAGAAAGCTACTATCTTTGTTGCCCTCCACTGAGCTCACTCTGTTTTTTCAGTGATGGATATTGAGTCCCAAAACTGGGCACTATGTTTTAGATGCAGCACACTGGTTATTGACCTCCTTTAAAAAGATTTTTTATGCACTTGGAAACTTGCACTACTTGTGGGCTAAGAATCTGTTTCCAACAGAAGCAAATAGTGAAAATACTTTGCTCTTCTGGGAAGATATTTAAGAAGTCTTTGACATTGGGTAGTTGTCTGGAGAAGTTATCACAGACACAGCTCTTGTTCGGCTGCTCTCTGAGAAGCTGCAGACTTTTGCTCTTGGATTCTCCCTTGTGATGCTTCATTTAGTTAGTAGCCAAAGTGAGAAGAACTGTAGGTAATGAAAAACAATACACAGGTTTTTGCTGCCTTATGGGTTTTTGAAGGATAGAGTGTCCATGATCAAGAATGTTATGGAAAAAGAAATAACACTGAAGTAGAAATGAGACAGAAAGCTGGACCAACAGTGAAGGCCCTACTTAACAAAATCTTCCTGTCAAGGACTGCCTCCCTTTGGCAAGATTGCTAGTCCTATATGTCAAGATCCACTAGGAAGAATAACTTTCTCCTGTTTGCAAGGGCCAGTTTAGCTTGACTCAGGTATAAGAAGCAGGCTTTTCTGCCAAATGTTCCCCTTCCTTGTTCTGTCAGAAATCTCACAAGCTGCTTCCCAAGCTTTCCCAGCTGTGCAAAGGGAAGCAAACATTGTCCTTTTCATAACAGGGATCCATCCAATTTGAGCATTTTGTTACACTGTGAGAAAACCTGCCCTCTGTCTGGGCTTCTGTAGTGATGTTGCTTACTTACATGGGAAAATTCTGTTAAATGTTTGGAAAATTTTCCTTCCGTAAATGTTTGCTTTACAACGTGTTTATTTGTAAAGTTTTTCTTCCATCTAATAGTAGCTTTTCACATGATTCCTCCATGCTTTTTGTGAACAGATCTTATTGTCAGCTTCTTATCATACCAGAGTTCAAATGTCAATGCAGGAACTTTCTGCCTGCCTCAAGTTGAATTTTGTTATATGAACTTAAGTTTCAGGAAGTAGAGCTGAGGTGTTTTCAACAGTGAACTTACAGAAACACAACTTGTTGCTCTGCCAATGCTTAAGAAAAAGATATTATATATAATATGTATTTTTTAAAGTCTAGCAACAATTTAATTAATGCGCAGTCAGGTTGTAACCTGTTGCTATGGGCTGTATTGCCAAGTTCCTATAGAAACTGCAAAACGGTGCAACATGTCAGGTGCAGGTATGATGTGCCAGACTACAACATTGAGAGCAGGTCCTCTCATGCCCATGACTTTGTTGCTAATCCTGTGTTGCAATCCTCAAAACTATTTGCAAGCTCATTAGCTCAAATAATGAAATTGAAGAATTCAATCTTCTGATGATCATTATATGTGCTAGTGACCCCACCTCATGAAACATATATTTTTACCACTTATTTAACAACAACGAAAATCAACACTCAAGAACAGAGAGTAAATGACATTAAGGTTACGATCTCAAGTGATGCTACCATAAAAAAAACATGAAGGAAAACTCTAATTCATGTATTCATACATTTTGACATAGATCTACAAGATATCTTTTTTCCCTTTGGCAGCAGATTGGAAGTCCTAATACAGAGAAAATGAGAGGAAATGAGAAAAAGAAAGAATTGCCTTGTGATGAAGACAAATTATGTTATCAGAACTAGACAGAATGTCTGCTTCTGACTGAGAGTGGTGCAGGACAAGACACACAGCTGATCTCTCATTTTCTGTGTGTAGAAGTGTCTTTAGCTTTGGTACAGTGTTGGGCACAAATGACAGCAAATGAAGTCCGTAAGAGCCATGCACAACAAAAGATTGCATCTGTGAATGCAATTATGGCTTTATTGTCTTAGTTTAATGCCAGTGCCCATTTCTGAACTTTATCATTTTTGTGCCTGCATTCATAAGCTGCAAAAAAAGATACAGGAAAGAATTGTTGTAGTGGCTCCTATTCATGTAGGATTCATGTCTCTGTACCACTTACCAACAATGCTGTGAACATCATCAAAAATGCCATGTAGGAATAATTACTTACTATGTTGTTAATAAAGATTACACCAAGTAAATATGATCTCAGTCATACACTGCCTGGAAAGCCCCCTAAAATCCAAATTACTGCCTACATATCCACTGGCTGAGACAGAGGCTGTGAGCTAAAATACTAATTAATTACAAGGTCACCTACTATTATAATAGATAGGCACAAAAGCAGCTGCACTTTTACAGCAACATTTCCTAATTTTTCAATGCTCAGCTCTGTTATCTTAAATAAGACAACTGAGCAACACATCTGAAAGTCCTACAGTGCATGCATGACTTACACCATGCATCTTATGCTCTGCATACTGTTCTGGTTGATTTATTATCAGTTCTGAGGATCTGATTATCACTAAGCTTAATGAGTTATCACAGGTGTTTCCATGCTTGTCAGCATTTATCTGTGAAGATGCATGATACTGTCAGATAATGGACTTGATTATTTCTATGTATTATTCTCATGCAGACACAACCATATGAAGAGGAAAATCAATACTTACCATGCAGCAATAGATTATATTTTTTAATAATCCTTATAAGTGATAAAAACTGGAATTTCAACTGATCAGCTGAATAAACGTTGATACTTTGTAATTCATCCTTCTTCAAAGAAACTAAGAATATTCCTCTTCATTAAAACATGTGTTATTTCATTAGACTTTCTCTTGAGCAGATGGCATGCAAAGAATCTTGTAAACATAAAACAAGCAGTGCATTTGTAAAACATAATCCAATTCTACTAAGAGAAGCTGCAGCAGAGAGAATAACAAGAGGAGCCTAAGAAATTATGAGAGTTCAAGCTACTAGTGTATCTGCTATTGCAGATGTAGCAGACCAACTCTTGGTGTTATGTGAGCACAGCTCATGCAAACCGTCATTATTTTCACAAGTGGCAAAAAATTACCTTTGTATCTTTGGAGTAGATTAAATTTGGTTTAGCTCCAGCTAAGTCAGTGGAACTGCAGAAGGGATGAATTTGGCCTCCTGCATACTGTCCCTGTTTTCTACCTACCTATACATACCTACCCTGTTTTCTACAGGGGCAAAAGAACTTCAAAACTTCAAGCCAAGTTAACTTGGCAAATCTAAGGTGCAAGTACAGAAATGAATCTTACTGTTCCACTGAAAATACTTGGAGATGCCTACACTTTATTCAAAGGCTTGAAAACAAAAGATTTTCTATTTAAAAATTTTACTATGCTCACTCAATCCCGGTAATTTCTGAAATTGCTTTACATTGTGATCCTGAATGCCCATATAATTTTTATGGGATATATCACAAGCAGAATATGCAAGTTCACTGTGCAACTCATCAAACGACAACCAAAAGGCCTATTTCTGAAGCTAAAAATTTTTCAAGAATATGCAGTAAAGAGAAAAACAATTCAGGGTGAGAAAAGAGGCAAGTAAGAGCAGACAAGCCAATATTTTGTTGTTATTCTTGTCCTTGTTATCTCCTGGAACGGTTGGTTTTGGACTCAGACAATATTTAAAAACAAAACAAGCTAAAAAGAATACTGCAGTCATCGCTAACAGTTTTCAGGTCACAGTTGTAATTGCAGTGAAAATTCTTTTTCATGCTTCTTAGAAATATTGGTTTAGACTGTTCAGCTGTGGATGAGTGAAACAAGCATGAACTGAACTGATACTCATTCCCCGCCATATTCCTAACCTTCTGTGTTTGCTTTAGGATAATAAGTGTTTGCTTTAGGAAAAGAAAATTCCTTCTCAATTTTGTAGATTCGTGATATAAATCTGTTTCTGCCTACATTGCTTAGCCTTTGGCCACTGATAATGTTGTACAATACATTGAAATGGGAAAGAAAAAAAAAAGTGGACCAGCACTGTTCAACTCCTACCAACATCCTTAATGGTACAGAAAAAAAAATGAAGCAGAAGACCTGACAATGCTTAATTTCATAGAATATAATAGAAGTATATAGAACATGGTAATGTAAAAATTACTTAAGCCATGCCTGTGTCTAAAAGACAATGAAAAGGCTCACAGTTCAACACAGAAATCATCAGAGGAAATGCACTGTCAACTCTGTGTAAGACAATTGTTTGTCCTCAGAAGGACATGGCAAGATCCTGATATTTTAGACACTCCTTATACATCCTATGCATTCATCTGGTTAAAGCTTATTTGGAAGCCACAGTTCATAGGAATTGTAACCATTTGTTTATGAACCAAGGTATAAAACCTCTTCAGTAAAGTCCTCTGCTACTACAACTGATGGCTAATTTCAGAGGTGTATTTTTATCTATTTCCTAAGAGGACAGCCCCAGGTAAAGCAGCAGCCATGACTACTGAATCAAGATCACTTGCTGTACTAAATTACTCATAATAACACTGCAGGTTGATGTTCCCGCATTAAGATTTGCAAGAATGTGAGAGAAAAGCCACAGCTGAAACATCCCATCAGATTAAATTGCTACACATCCTAAAAGGATGCAGGTGCGAATGCAAGGCAAAACACTGAACAGTTCACAGTTTCTATTAACTGAAAAAGACAGTTAAAAGTATTAACCCATCTTGCAGTAACTGAGTCACTTCAAGTGTTGTGTCATCTTAGTATCTCATGGAAGTGTTACTCACCTAATATTTAAGTTACCAATTCCTAAGTTTGAACAACATAATTCTCAGCAGTTCAGACTAGAAGCAAATCAACTAATAGCTGATGGAGATTTGGTTATATCGCTGACACTTATAGTTTGAATATATTAATTTTTATAGTATTTGCATTTTAAAGCTGGCAAACATGAAACAAATGATGGATTGGACTTCCCACAACACTTCTTGTACTGTCTGTAGTTCCTAAAATTAGCTGTATGTGCTGGAGTTCCTCCTCGTTTTGTATACAACTTAATCTCCCTGGGCTCTCTTCCCAGGAGAGCCATACTTTCAAACTCTTGAGAATTTCCACCTATCCAGGGGACTGTGTTGCCTGTATCAGCTTTTTTTTTTCTGCATGCTCATTAAGAATATTATTAAGAATAAAGTCAGATTTTGAAAAAAACAAAACAAAACAAAAACAAAAAACAAACAAACAAAAAAAAAAAAAACGTAGACTAGAAGTTAGATCAATTTAAATTTTCCAGCTTCTTTCCTGAGCAGGAAAACAATAATGGCAATTAAAAAAAAAAAAAAAAAAAAAAAAAAAAGTAAATGGTATGATATTCTCTTCTTTATTCTTATTTTGCAGTTCAAATAGTAATGTTTCCTCTTTTCTCAGAACACAGCATCAATCAATTCTTCTTTAACATCTGAAGAAAAACAGATTAAGAAAATTCAATTCTTACATGGCCTAGAATTGCCTGGATTTTTTTCAAATAATTCACATTGCAAAATTAGACAAACATCCTCCCTCAGATCTTTACAGCAAATCTAGAGCATCGTAATTTTGTATCTAAAATAAATGTCTTTTTTCTGAAAAGTCATTTGGGAAATCAAACAAAAAAAGCCATCCTTTCCTCTCTTCTTTCTCAAGAAGTTCTGCCTTGAAGAGACATGTAGAAAATCAATCCTATGTAGCTGCTCAACTTATAATGCAGTAAGTCTGATAAAACACAGAATTTTGCCATCTATTTTACTCATACCATTTATTCTCCATTTCCATTACCAACAGTACTCTCTTGCTCCTTGATGCTGCTCCCTATTTCCTCGCTTTCAGCAAGTGATGTCAACTCCAGTTCTTTTTGGTGATACTGGTATGAACTTTGGCTTGATGGCTCCCTTTTGTTTTCCAGTATGTGGCATGGATCCTAATGTTGCCCCATGGAGCACTTGAAGGCAATATATAGAAGAAGACAGGCAAGGCAGCTGAGTGTACAAAATCTGCTCTGTGAAAGACTCTCCTCCTGCTGTGCTAGAAAATGGCATTTGAGAGCACAGCTGATGCAAGAACAGATCTCCCTGCATGTAGCAGTCATTCCAGGGGACAATCTGATTGGCAGTGATGCCCACTGAGTAAAAAGCAAGAATGGAAAAAATCATGACAACAAGGAAAATAGAATTAAAATCATGTGTATGTAAAAATGCATGTTCTGCTTCTGACAGCGCACTCACTGCAAAACAATTATTCCTTAACAGTTAGTACAATAGAGCAGATATCATACGCATATGAAGATTAGTTTTGTTTACATTGCAGTCTATCTATTCAGAACATTTATATTCAGAGAAAACTCAAGCAGTATCATTACTACAATCTAAATAACAAGATGTCACTTTGGCACAGATACAGGGTGTATGTAATGATATTGGAGACTCCACAATATTGTTTCTTATTCCTCCACTCCAGTTTTCCAAGTGAGCTCTGCAAAACATGAGCTGGATGCTTAATCATCCTTTGATCCACTTTGATCACTTTGAAAGCTGCAATTCCTGAACCTTGAATGTTTGTTGTATTTGTATATATTAATACAACTAAGTTATTCACTGGGTTACATGCTGAAGTAAGAATTTGTGGTGTAGCTACATTAATTTGGTTCTCTCCCCACTGTATTTCTGTATCTCCGGCCCTGCTTATCAGGAAAGAGCCACACCACTTTTAATTCACTACCTGTTGTGCTCCAGACAGAAGTAAGACTCTGGGACTGTTTCTTCAGCAATACCCCTTCATCAGTCCTGGGAAATCTTAACTTCTACAAACCCCTCTATGGTTGCATGACATGCTCTAAGATAGGTAACACACTCTATTGTCATCATGCTATAAAAATAATAACTTTGTATGCTGGAATACAGCCCTTACTTCTGAAACTTTAAACTGAAAAACCACAGAAAATAATAATTTTGCCTTACAACCAGAGGGGAGAACCAGGCCTAGTGCTAGAAAGAGTTGCTGCCAACTGTTCTAGAAAATGTTTGCCATGAAAAGCGAGTCAGCTTGCACCAGTCATCCTGTGAGTCAGACTTTTTCCTTGACAAAAGGACCTCCACAAAAATGGTACAAGAGCAGCATCTGCAGTCTGAAAGCATTTTGTTCTCTTATTTGATCAGAGGTGTTTTTTGGACTGTAATTTTATTTTAACAAACCTGACAGACAAACTAAATACATGGCTGTAGTATTGTCTTTTGATCCTACCAGGACTTGAACAAATTCAGAATACAGATACAAAAAGATACCAATATTGCCATTTCTACTTTGTTACTTAGAATAAAGCATTTCAGCATAATTTTCTAAGTGATATCACAAATTCCCATAGGGAATTAAAAAAAAAAAAAAAAAAAAAGCCATAACAATATTCTCTTGGCCTTTGTTTCTGTCTTCTACTATACTACCCTAAGATACATAAGTTCTTTCAAAATGATCTCTGCAGAAGCCCAGTAGATTTAGAATCCTCTTTTTCTTGTTCCCTCCCACTAATTTCCTGTGACACCTCTTCATTTTTCTTTCTTGACCACTACCTTACATACACCACAGGCACATTAGTTTGTTCAATATTCTTCGAAAAAACGTAAGTTGCTCTCCAATCTAGATGAAACCATTGTAGTACCTAATATACACACACAGTAACGTTCTCTATAATATATAACCTAAGAAGTAACTTTGCATTCAAATTAAGTGGTAAGTGACCTATTAAGAGAGCAAAAGATTATGGGGAAAGGAGAAAAACCGGTTTATATATATTATGCATGTACATGCACATTCCTTCTTTCTCTCAGTCACCAGTAAAACTACTGATCACCCTGAGGCTTTCAGGTGACACTCCTGAGGAGTGACATGTCAAGATTTCAGAAATTTACCTGATTCTGCCACTGTAACACAGATTGTTCCTCCACATGGTTTTGTACATAGTCCTGTGTGTCTCCTGCTGACCCATAGGTTACCATTCCACTGCTGCTAGGTGAGGCAAGGAAAGCTGAACAGGATTCAGTTGGTGTTGTAGAAGTGAGGTGAATGCTGGAGACATTGCTGGGTCGGTGAAATGGCAGACAGTGGAACTGGGAACACTGATGCTGCTGGGGATGTTGGGACAGCTGGTAAGTTCCACCCTGGCTGCCATACTGCCAGTATGGCGTCTCTAGACTGCCTATAAAGTCCAGCTGCTTAGAAGAAACTGCTGAACACAAGCTGTGGAAAGCAAGAAGAGAAGCAATTCAGAGTTCAAAGTAGAATCAACCCCAAACATCACCTTCTAACATATACAACTATTGTTTTATTCACCCTTGACAACCATCAAATCCTTATCTGAATCCAACGTTTTCTTCCAAATCCCAGACACAGGAAAAAAGAGATAGAGCACTAACAGCAAGATTCTCTAACATAGCACATTGATGGGGAGTACCTTTTAGTTTTTTCTACTCTCTAAATGGCAAACACCAATACTTAATCTCAAGGACGTGCTTCTGAACTTCACTACCACTTGATGTACATGCAATTATTATGGCTATCAGATTTCTGGAGGTAAGTGCATAGTCCTACAACATCATTATTCACTTTTCCATACTCCATTTAAAGGGTTTGTTTTCTTTTGAATTCTTAGTTACATTCCCATATATTTCCTTGTCCTATGTCCCAGCTTTGCCCTCCCAAAATTCACTGTCTTCTTCAATGAGAGTCTCATCTATTCCTACCCTTGATCCTGGATGCTATAAGTGAAGGCCTCCTTGGAGCTGTTTTCCTGACTGGACAAGACGCATTCACTGTTGGGAGCATCCAGCATCAATGGGACAATGTGACCGTAGGGGCTGAAGGAAAGACTGAGAGGCAGGCTGGCCCTACGAATGGGTGGAGGACTAGGAAGGCTTGGGAAGCACTCCACTCTGCTGGAACTGAAGTCAAGCTGCAGCAACGCCTTTGTCTGAACTGCTTCACAAGATCCTATCATCCCTGTCACTGGAGAGACTGTGAATAAAAAGAGAGACTGTCATACTAAAAATTGAAAGGAGTAAGCAAAGGATCAGTCGAATAAAAGTATCAAAACAGAAAGGCAAGATGCCAGTGAAGGAGTGTAGGTTAACTGATGTGAATAAAAGTGAATAAGTAGCAGCATTTCTTCTGGGAAGAAAAACAAGCAGTAACAAGCTCTCTGGAACATACAGTTATGTTTATTAATTAACTAAGATTACTCTCAGAATTTTAGTCTCCATATAGTAGATTTATTCAGCTCTCAAGAAGGCAGCCAAATGAAAATAAGTACTTAATGGAAAGAAAGACAGGATCCCTCAGCCTTCTTCCACATCTATTGTCCTCTGGGAAGAATGTGCTGCACAGATTATCCTTTCGAAAAATTCAACTAGTTTGGAAGAAACAAAAAGCATGCCTTTATAGACATGAAATCTCGGCCGTGTCTTAAAAACACAACTTTCATTCCTGATATGCATTTGATGAATCATGCCAAACACTAAAACAAACAAAGCAAAAAGAGAGAACATAGATGTCAGCCTTGGGAAAAGGAAGCTGGGAGATGAGAAAGCACAACAACATATTTCAGTAGCTAGTCTTGTTTGGTAGTCTGTCTCTTCAGGCACTGCTGGAAAAGAAGAATGGAGTAGTTTCTTACCAAGCTACCTCTGTGGAAAGAGGACATGATAGGAAAACTTTATAAGCATATATGCTAGTGATCCAGAACATGTATGCACAGATGTTCAAGAATTTTATATGTGGTCTTCAAGAACTTTGTATGTTAACAAAATGCTCTTCCGTTAAGCCAAACATCAAATTATTTCTGTTTAGAGAAATTTAACTATCTTTAGGCATATAGGGCAATGGAAATGATTTTTCAGGACTAGTTAGGCCAAACCAGAATAAGGATGAGCAGATATGAAAATATATCTCAGGCATTATTATTCAAGAAAAATTGGTCTACTTCCACACATGGCAAAGCACTCAGAGAATGCTATAGCAGTGTGAATAGTTTACAGCTGTACTTCACTCTCACAGGCATAGAGAAACATCAGATGCACTCTACCAGATGTATACCTTTAGCATAAAACCTAAACATAATACTGCTGCAGCTAGAATGAGCAACCTTTATAAAATTTTGGAATGTGTGTCCAAAGAGCTAATAAGATTCCACTTCAATCATCTGCAGTTCCATTTCTAAGATTCTCCAGTGAGCTATGCAATTGCATTTATCTTAATATATCTTCCTTTATGATTTTTTTTCCAACTAACTGCAACTATGAAAAGAGACAGGATCTTTCAGTGAAAACTTGAAGAGCCCTGAGTTTGGGATAATTTCAAAAACTAGATCAAGACACGGCATCTCTAAACCATTCACACTCCCAGGCAATTCCCAGTGGTTTAGTTTGCTATTTGAATATGATCTTTCTGTTTCAGGCAGCATTTACGTTGCATGTCCACAATTCTTTTGACATAGCATACAGTCCAACGTTTGTAAAACAAGTCAAAACAACTTTTAGTTTCATAACAAGACAAAGTAACTTGGCCAGAAACAGAGCTGAAGCTCTGTTTTCGTTTACAAAAGCCTTTGATTGCAATGCCCCAGAATGTAATATTTTGCACAAACTTCGTGAAGCCATAGCCATACTGGGTACAACTTATCTGAAAAATATTATCCAGATAAATTTCAGTTAAACAATAATATTACAATTAGCTATTTTGAAGTTGGCCTTATCCATGCTCAGGACAAATGTGAGCAGTGTTAATAAGATATCCCAGAAAAACAATTTTAAACCCACTTTCACACATAATGAGAAATATGTTCTGTATCTTTAAAAAAAAATATTTAAAAACATTTAGTACAAAATAGCCCTTGTGGATTGAGACATTAGAACTATGAGTAATGTCTTTGCTGTAGTATAGCTTCTTTCTGGGCATCCTGGCAGAACTATGAAAGCCATTCATTAAGGCAAGATTTTCCAATGACTGAAACGGAGTCTTAAGTGAAAAGGAAAGAAAAAGATGTGAAGGATACGTATGCTACTCTCAAGATAACTGTTTTCAGTCTTTTACTAAACTTTAGGGGATAACATAGGAAGATGCATCTTCTTATGCTACAGATCTGTCCATGAACTTAAAACTGGGCATGGTTTTAACTATAAGACTGTTTTAGGGAGTTGCTTTCACTGTCATCAGATCAGATCACCTCCAAAATCTTTGGTATTAGGGTGACACCTATCTGCTTTGGAGTCCTTTCTCCCAGTATCTGCTATACGTTACTTTCTCATCATACTGACTCCAGAAGGCTTCAGTATAAGACAACTGTCGCTGTTCTGGCAGATAACCAAGCAGTTGGTTGCAGACTGCTCAGTAGCTCTGGGGAACATGACCAGTTTCTCAAAAAGCACAGTGTTGGGTACAGTGCAGCTGATGTTGAGCAACAAAGCTAACCTCAGACAATGTACTTATACTAGAACTGCTTTCTCAAGCATCAAGACTTCAGCAAAAGTCTCTGTTATTATAAGTGTCAGTTACACATTGAACAATCCAGTTTCTTGTAAAGAAAATATGCCTGTGTAATAGTAATCACAGCACTTACTGGAACCATCATAAAGCTTGTCTCATACACAGTCTCTTCCTGAAATTACTATAAGTTCTGTAAAAAATGCATCTTTCTTGCAAATGGCATTTTCAAAGCAGAGAAAATCTTAAAGTTAGGAGCACAAGCATTCTTCAATTAATTAACTAAAGATGAGTATACCAATTTCAGGTTATAACTATAATGCTAGGAGAAGTGCATTGGTCTGATCTTATGGATTTTCAGTAGAACAGAACCTACTACTTGTTTAAAAGTTGTGAATCTTGTTTGCCATGTGAGATATACATCACCAGTTTTAAAGTAATTTGTTTAAAGGCCAGAATAAAGAATAGTGAAATCATTAGGACTTATGAGATTTATTTACTGTTCTTTGACAGATCATATTGAACTTCATGAAATTGCTCCTCCATCCCATTCAAATTTCTGCTTCTGGCTAATCAATCACATTGTTATTTCCCTAAGAGCTACAAGCTCTTCCTGCAAAATCACCAGGGGGAAAAAAAAAAATAAAATAAAACTTCAATTAACAGAAGCATAGAAAGTAGCTTTTATTTCTATGGGGGTAAATACTTACCTGTATATAAGCTTACAAACAGGTTCTGAAAAGTTAGCATCAGCAGCTAAATCACCAGAAATCTCATAAAATACACAAAATTTCTAAACTTTGGATCCAAACCACAACTTTATCCAAAACACAACTGCCTGATTTTGCTCAAGGAACTTTTATAACTGGAAGTTTATGTACATGCACGTCCAGTGCCTACCTGCATAAACATGTTCTTGTTTTTCATGTAAAAGGCATTTAATTATACATGCATCCAAACTTTCCATAACAGTAAGGAAGTTCAGTCCTACTCAGAGACATTCAGGTTTCATCTCTAAGAGGTCATGTATGTTTTAAATCACTGAATCAAAGTAATATAACTGTCAGAAGTCTCAGTCAAATAAACTGCAAACAATTAGAAATGTCAAATACATACATGCACATTACTTTGTTTAAAGCAAGCTACCTATCTATCAAAAATCATAATACCATTCTAAGACCAAGCAAAAAATTCTGAAGCAGAATTGAGTCTTTTGATTTTGGCATTAGCTGTGCTATCCATAACTGCCAGAATGGAAAAATATCACCACACCAATTTCTTTGGATAACTGTATGAAACTGTGAGACAAAAAAAAAAAAAACCACCAAAAAAAAACCCCACCAATGTCTAGAGAACAAGGAAAAAGCAAAGGAAAAAAAAGGCACTGAGTACTTCACAAAAGTTAACAGGTTGTAGCATTCTCACGCACGTAATTTGCTTGTCCAGCTGAAAGTGGAGAAACATGGAGAAACATTGCTACCAAGGATAACACCTGAACAATCATTCCGAACAACAATTAGGCCAGTCTCTGAGCATAACTGATCATTGCATAGGTCACAGATTGTTCTGCTGAAATCTGCCATTGTGCAATTTTCCACCGAGATCATTTTTCCTGGCCTTTGCCTTGTGGATTTATGACCTTTTTATTCATTTGTTCACTCTTTGTTTTCCTCCTTTTACTTGGCATGTTATCCTATCCATGTTTTATCTTCATTTTCTGAAGTCTTCTAAGAAAAATGGTGAGCCCTAATTGGCTTCGTTTATGAGCAAACTTATTTCTGAATGAGGATGAATGGGTCTGCCGAGAAGAGGGGGAAAAAAAAAAGGAAGTCTCATTTTTCATGGTTTTACTGTCCTACATCTAAGATACAACTGTGACTGAAGGCTTTCCTGCGATTGGAATATGCAGATTTCTCTCCTATGAGAACTCTTAATAGCAATCTTTTCACTCAGAAGGAGCAGTAACTCAGATCTCTACTTTTCCTGGGCAGCAATTTTCCCATGACTTGTAGGAATGTAACTTTAAGACTGGAAGGAAGGGTGGGTTTCATAAACAGTGAGTTCAACCTGTATCATTACACCTACCACACTACTCCCTCTCCTCAGGAAACTAGGAGAAATAATAGTAATAATAATAATAAATAAATTACTTAACTTCACAATTTATGCTCACTAGCAAAACATACACCTCTTTTCTGCAAAGTAATTTAGAAATGGTAATATTTTTGTCACATAGATATTTATTTGGAAAATACTTACGAGCCTTAGATGACAAATAGTCTTTAATACTTTTTGCTTAGCTTGATTTAAAGAGAACAAAGAGAATTCACCTACATGTCCTTAATACTAAAGATCCTGGAGTTTCAGACAAGTAAGGGAAATGCATATTGTATAAAAGCTAGATTTACACACAGCATCAAGTTCAAAGGATCAGGAAGTAAAAACCCATAAATCTTTATCTTGATTTTTTTTTCCATATCAAGAATTGGATCCGAATGTACAGATTTTCCAGAAACAAATGGCTCAGTATAGGCGAATTTGTACTTTTGCCCTGAAGAGCACATAATAGCCAAAATAATAGTTTTGTCATCATGTGGGAGAACCCAAAGTTGCAACAGTTATCATTCAGCTATAACAGCAGAACGTTTCAACCACATATCCTTATGAACTCATGTTCAGAATTGATTGCTGGGCTGTGGTATGGCATGAATGAATAAGAACAGTAAATCTAGCTCTAGTGCTAGTACAGAGATACCATCCAATATAGCTATTAACATGATTAGAAGAGAACTGCTAAATCTGATGTCACTTTTTGTACTGATGTGATTGAACTCTAACATGACCTCTCTGAAGTGTCTGAGAGCCTGCCAACATCACCAAAAATAACAACAATAAGATTTGCACTGATATGGATCTCACCTGAGGAGGAAGCAAGCAACGAAGAATGTTCACTGACCCTACTGGAGCAGTTCCCAGCTGTAGTGTCTACACTTAATATGGCAGACTGATCAGGCAATGGAGGCATTGGCAGAAGAGGTGCCCTGGAGTTGTACATAAGAGGTATGAACTTGAACTGGAACACAATGCAAGACATTACCGCAAAATACACACTTTTTTAGCTATCCTATAACAGATAGATCCTAGATTATTAGATCAGTAAGCACTGTCTTTGCACTTACGAGTGCAAGGAACACTATCGACCAATATTTGGGGAAGCAGTCTCAGACTACTTGTGTGAAAGGATAAGTAGCAGGGACAGTGCAGTGAAATCCATCAGGTGGTCTCCTATCTGTCACTTAACAGATTCTCTTTCTCTCTCTGTTCCCCCCTCATCTCTGAAACATGCTGTTTTTCATTTCTTCAGAGAATGTCTCCATGATATTTGTTACATGCAAGCACCTTTTCCATCACCAAGTGACAAATTTATGAAAACGTTCAATGATGGTGGAAGGAGGTCTGGAATAAAAAGCTTCCTGTGTGCACACAAAGGGCCTAAAGAACACATAAAACGAAAATAAAAATGAAGGAGTGATTTCGTTTATCCTTTCTATTCAACACTGCTTTCTGCATGGCTTCAGTAAAACAGTGCTACACTGTGTCCAATAGCTCTCTTAAGAGGATGCACTACAATAATTTGCTAGGAACCTGTCTAGCTGGAGAAAACAGATGTGCAATAAACCATCTCAATGATCAGTTCTCCATGGCTTAAAAATAAAGGTAAAAAATAATAGGTGAAGATTTAATTCATTAGGTATCTATTGTGGAGAAATGAGTAAACAGAGCAAGTCCCTCACCCACAAATGTCTGACCCAGCATGGAGTGCCAGAGCTGCTGATGTTGAGTATTTTTTGCTGCCTTTGACATTCAACTTCTCTGTTTTTCTCCACTTTGCCCTGCGATTCTGAAACCACACCTGATCAATAGAAAGAAACATTCAGATGGAAAATTATCTACACACAGGAGCACAGGCAAAGAAACAGCAATGACTGCCTCCATGCTTGCTCAGATGAATCCAGAACTCTTGAAGAGCCTTGCTTCCACAGAGCATCAGCAAAATTAACTTCTCCCTGCTTCAGTTCCTCCTCCTGACACTTTTTTTGGCACGAATCCCATAAGTCACTGTTACCCACACAGGCATTATTACCATGATACGCTGTGGTGTCACCCCAACTACAGCTGCGATTGCCCTCCTCTTTTCATTGTCAGGGTAGTGATCTTTCTGGAACACCTTCTCCAACTCTTCTAGTTGCTCTAGAAATGACACAGAGAGAGATTGAAAGCATATGAGGAGAAGATAAACAACAATTTTAAAAAAAAACAACAACAAAAACAACAGATAAAAACCCAAATTTTTTATGTAGTTAGCAATACATGAACAACATAGGTGGTATTTTCTTAAAAGCAAACCACAGAAGTAAGCAAATGTCTCCTTCCACAGTAAAACAAATAGTATTGCTAGCAATATTTCAAGCACAAAGACTTGGCAAATGTTTAACTGAAGTTCTCAACCTCTAGTACTGCAAAATGCAATGAAAATGCTATTTAGGGCAGTTCAGCATCTCCATGCTGTGCCTTCAGGATGATGTAAGAAACATTAGTGCCATTATCACTACAAGTATCACTGCCTGCCACTGGGTTCCGCATTATCTACCTGCGCTATAGAAGGTGCGTGTCTTCTTCTTGACTGGCAGTAGAATTTCTGGATCCTCACATAAATCTTTTTTCTGCTTGTTCTCACCATGACTACTTCCAGATTTCAGGAATGAAGTTGTTGTGTAGGACTGCTGACCTCCAATACTGGCTGAAGTACAGAGCACTGACCTGCAATTAGTTGGGCCATATACATCCTCTAACAGTGCTAGCCTGCAGAAATCTCCAGAGATTGCACCAGGTAACTTCTCAGCACATACTCCACTTATGCAATTATTTTTTTTCTTTGCCACATTTTCAGTCACATCAGAGTGATAACCTTCATTCTTTTTGAATGACCCTGAATTATCTGTGGGTGCCTGTGCAAACATAACCACAGGAAGAGGAGGCACAGAATTTTTGTTGCTGAGGAAATTTGACAACTGCCCACACACTGAGACAAGGTTGAGAGGAAGGGCTGTTGAGTCTTGAGAAGCTGACTCAGTGGCTTGCAGCATGCAGTAACTACCATCTTCCTCCTTCACAAGGCTAGCCTTATCTTCTGTTCCCAGGGTATCCCCAGCTTCTTTTATAGTTGCAAGTTGGAATGTAACTAGCGCATTACTCCCCGTACTGTGTCCACCAAGAGGATCAGCATCAATCACAAAGGTGTTCAGTGATACGCTCTCCTTGCTGTTCTTACGCTCTACAAGGAAGAAAAAAAAAGAAAGGTGTTCCCCAGACTGACTCATATGTATGCTTTCTTACCCAGGTGCACCAAGATAAGTTTCAGTCATGGAAAAGGGGAAACACTGCAATAAAAATTAACAGTGTAAACAAAGACAAACATACTTTGAGAGTTCAAAATAAGACAGTGACCAAGATAGAAAAAGAAAAAAGAATACAATATGGTCAACATAGAGATATTTAAACATCTGATCTTAGAAAAGCCTCGTCTTGAGAGAAAAGATGCCTGCAAAAACATTCAACTGCAAACTATAGGAGTAATTAATACTAAGCACACACGCACACCAAAAAAAAGAAAAATCAAGAGAAAGCTGCATGTAACTAACAATAATACTTTTAAGGAAAACAGCACTGTGAATAACAGAGGCCTTTGGAATAAAGAACATAATAAAAAAATCTATGATATGTCAAGACACCAAATGACTCCTTACAAAAATAAGCTAAAGACAAATGAAAGCCAGAGTCTGGTCTATTCTGTCAGCAGGGATTATCTGACAAATGGCACCACATTTCATTATAGAGGCTTCTGTTTCTACCATACTGAAGTTGATCAAAGTTAAAAAACAACAACAACAACAACAAAAAAAAAAAAAAAAAAAACAACAAATTGTATGAACATTTATTAACTGACTTAACTTTCTTCAGCTTCAGACACAACAGTAATGAATAACAGACCTAAGAACGGGCAGTGAAGAAGGTACCTGAAGACAAAAATAGATGAAAAAAAAAAAAAAAAATTCATTCTCTCCTACTTTTTACTTATAATAACACAATGTCAAAATAAAGAACTTGCTTTCTGATCCAAAGCCTCTTTCTTAAACAATTGTTAATTGAGTAGGAAACTCACAACATCAGTCAATTGGGTAAGCATTCATGGAAAGCATTCATACAAATAGACACCAGACTGCTTCCAAGACCTCTCAATTTGCCTTTTTACAAGATTAAGAGAACTGAATTAGTACTATAGGAAAAAGACAGTAGCAAAAAACTATGTACTTGTTAAGCAGCAAGTTTCCTTCGCTATTACATGAGATGAGATGAAATTACAAGCGCAGATGGGAGGGGCTAAGAACTAAGGGAGGGAAAAGCCATGTATACATATGCTATGTAATTCCCTTTTCCACTGTCCTTTCTGCTTTATCTTGTTTCAGTCCTGTTCTTGCTGATTACATGATAAAACTAGTATTTTCACATCATTCATCCTCTCATACTGTGCCTCAAATTAGAAATAATACTTTCAGCTTCATGATTAAAGACCCTTCCAACTAATTTTTATTTTTATTTATGAACTAGTATGCATTTAAATCACAAAACCTGTTTTGAAGTCGTGTGCCCGTTCCTAGTATCCTTAGTAGAGATGGATCAAAAGCAAGGATTTTTGCACCACCTGCAGGAATAATTCTTTCATCAAAAAAACAGAAAATCTGCCACCTCTATTTCTTAGACACAAAGCAAAGACCTAACAACTCAAAACTTGGTATCAACATGAAGATACCTCAAATGAAAGTAAAACTTGGAAAAAAAAAACAAAACAAAAACAACAACAAAAAAAAAAACACAAAAAAAACCCCTTCACAGTAACAACCAGAGAGGGTTGCCAGCCCTCTCCTTTCATCATTGCTACAGCAAGAGACCTGATTGAACATCACATTTTTTTGGATAAATAATCTGAAATAAAAGAGATCTTAAGTGAACAGGTAGATCATACTAGTGGAGTTCAGAAAGTCTAAAGTCGTATGAACAGTCGTAAGTCGTACTGTCCTTTTTTCTTGCAATCATCTCCTCAGAGTTCCTAGAACAAAGTAAGCATTTGCACAGTGACAGCAAGATTTCAAGGGTGCTTTGAGCATTTGGTGCAAAGCATCCCAGGCATGCAGGGAAAACCATAAACATCCATGCAACTGAGACAAAGAGAAAGAGAACTGGGGACATAAGCACCACCAGCCTGGAAACTCTGAGGTAGCAGGATCACACTGGAGAGCTAAAACAGGAAGATCAGCAACCTCAGCCTCCTCACCAGTTTGCCCTATACTTTTACAAGCCCTGTGACTCCAAGACCACACACAGACACTGAGCTAGCAGACAGAAACCCACAGCCTCGAGACAGCACACTGGATAAGATGGCAGCTATCCCTAGGGCAAGAGCTCTTATCACCCATCTTGCAAGTACCGGTCCAGGTTTGGTGGGATTACTGCCCAGATAACAGCTTGGAGGAGGAGACGACCGGGGTTGTTATTTTCTCCTGGGGCTGCTCGTTAGGTTTATTGTCGGGTGCTTTCTCTCTGGTGAATAACATGAGCTAGCGCTGTATTCCTGAAACTCTACCCTTACCTGTCCCTTTCAGCGTTCGCTCCTCCTCCATGCCCACCGCGTCCCTGCCGGCTGGACAGCTGCCGCACATCCAACCCGCCACAGCCAGGCATGCCTTTTTAGTGCCCCGCCCAGCAGCAAGACTTGTGAGGACTGCGGGGCCAGCCAGCTAATCAAAGCCAGCTGCGGCGCCAGTGATGGGAAAACGCTGCCCAGAAGCCGCTATCTGAGAGATCTATCTCAGCCACTTGGCCAAGGAAGGGGTGGCAGTAGGCGGGCAACTCCTGAGCAGATGCAAGGACTCCCAATAGAACCACACGTAATGGAGAGGCAACACTAAATCCCTGATATGGAGCTAGTGGTGAGGCACGGCTCCTATTGGTTGCAAAATCGTGCTTGGAGAGAGTTGGTCAGTGGCTCAATACCTGGATGGAGTGAAGGCTGATGCCACTCATGGGTCTAACCAGTGCTATTTCATATCTTCATCATCAACTACAGTGGGATCCATGCTCAGCAAATCTGTGGATGACAGCAAGCTCTGTGGTGTGATCTACACACCTGAGGAATAGGATGCTGTTCAGAGAGACTCAAACAGTGGCCCCAGATGAATCTTACAAGGTTCAACAAAGCCAAGTGCATGGTCTTGCACCTGGGTTGTGATAATCCCTGCTATCAGTACAAGCTGGGGTATAAAAGAATAGAGCACAGCCCTGTTGAAATGGACTTGGGAATACTAACAGACAACAAGCTGGACAAGAGGCAGTAATGTACTCTTGTAGTCCAGTTAAAGCCAACCATATCTTGGGCTGTATCAAAAGAAGCATGGCCAGCAGGTCAAAAGAAGTGATCCTTCTTCTCTCCTCTGCTGGTGAGATGCTTTGACCCAAGAGTAATTTTACAGTGTTAAATGAGTATAAAATGAAGCAGGTGTAGCAGCGTTGTGTAAATGAAGTACAATTGGTATGACAGTACAGCTGATTCAGATAGTAAATGTAAAGCATGCTGGCTGGAGTGTTAACGAAGCTAAAATGATGCTTAATTTCTCAGAGGCATCCAGCTGACAAATCTGATCTTAGAGTGGATAGAACCTCTTAAATATTAAACCAAAGGAAAACAAACAAACAAAAAAATAAAATAAAAAAATAAAAAATAAAGACTGCTTTAGAAGTTCTTGTCTCTAATCAAAACTGTGTTTACTCACTGCATGAAGTTTGGCTGACTCTAGTATCTGGCTCAAATATTAGCTTTTTCTAGTATTCTGAAGAAGACAAAGAACTATGGAGAATGCTTTCTTTCTTTAGAAGGAACAAATACAAGATTTTCAGGGCTGTGACCCTCTAGTTTTTAGAGCAACGTATATATTTATGTATTTCAAACTTTTTAAAAATGAAAAAAAAAACCCAAACAAACAAATCAAAAAAACAGTACCTAAAACGTTTTATTTTTAGACATAAACCAAGATTTTCCCAGGTTCTTGACAAAATTTTTCAAATGTAGCTCATGCCTGTATTTCATTGCTGCTCTTACTGCAAAAAGAAACAAGTATAATTGCCCTCTACTGTGGGTTAGCTTTCAAGTTCTTTTTTTCTCACATCAGCATGGAAATGCTGGTTTACTTATTTATATTTTTTGTCCAGATATGTCTAAAAAGGTTCCTGTGAAAGATTCATGCTTCTTTTTACAGCCCACCTTTTAAAGTAAGTTAGCACTGAGTTTGATTTCTTCCTTCACTCAAGCCACAATCTTTAATGGCCATCATCATTCCAGCTGTTCCTGTAGCAGTAGTGGGAATGTCTGCAAAAGAGAATCATTACAATTGATCCTAATCTGATTTGTCGGAACCCTAATTTAGGTTTTTGTCTTGAATCGCTCTCTATAGATAAATTCGTCCCTTTCCTGACTATGCTTATGTGCAAAACCTAAGGTGTTTTTTTTTGTTTGTTTGTTTTTTTGTTGTTAGTGAGGTGATGCTGATGTGTTTGCTTTTCATGTGTTTGTTTTCACTGTCGAGTGTTGTTCCATTATATTTGGTTTAAAGTTCTTTTATCTACTGTAAACCTTACTACTTTTAGTTTGCTGTTGTCAGATGCATCTTATTCTAAATAAATGGGTTTTAGGTTCCCAGTGAGTGAACACTGGCTCTGTGCAGTTGGAATTAAGAATTGAATCTTACAGTCTCAATTTTTTCTTCTTTCCATGTGGTTACTTTCCAGATCTTAAATGTTCTAATGATTACCCTTAAATTTTCTATGTGCTGGAGTACCATATAACAAAAAATGAAAATCTATATCTATCTATCTATAATATATATATATAAATGAATATATATATATATATATATACAGTGTGAAACTCATTGGAGAAATTTAGCTTATATGGCATTTAGAATCATGTCTGACATTGACAGGAACACTTAATTGGATAGATTATGAGAGAATTTGTCTGAATCTTTCCAGCTGATAGAGCACATTGGGAACAGCAAGATTGCAAGATTGGTGCAGCTTTGTAAGTGAAGACCAGCCTGGAGCCAGGGATGACCCCAGTACAGGCAGAGGTGGTGTCCTTGCTGACCAGAATGCGCAGCTAGAGCGTCAGAGCAGGGTGATGATAGCAGGGCCCATTGACAGCCTCAGGCAGGGTGAGGTGATGAATCATGGCCCTGGTCTGTCTGGAGGCTGCAGTCACAAGTAGAAGGAATTGCAGTGAGAGGCAGGTATTCCTGTCTCTGTAGGCACAGGCCTACAAGCCTACATAGGAATGTGGTTCCTATGTCCCTATGCTTAAGCTCAAATATACTTCCAGAGACAATAAGGAATAAATTATTTGGTGTAGGAAACCATTCAGGGTAATAGAAGCCTGTTGGTGCACTTGGAGCCATGACAAGGAGGCAAGAAGGGTTACCTCTTAAGATTATTCACATTTAGAAATAGAACCATTCACATTTAGAAACAGAAATTTTTTTTCTTTCTCAGGCTTCCACAATAAACATACTGGTTTATAGTGTAAAACATTAGCAGATTCTTGTTCAAATAATAGATTTTACTAGGATGTATGTTGTGATTCTGTGGAAGGGATGTGTTTTAAAACCACGTATTTTATGGCTCTTCAGATGGGCTCTACATATGGCTATAAGGTTCTTGTTTATGCACATGGCTACTCCTTTCTGTAGCCTCTGTGATGTCAAATAGATGCCTCAAGCTAATTACACAGGAGACCAGATATAAACAGCATGGTGTTTGAGTCCCAGATCTTGCTGACATATGTTTAAAGGTCATTTCTCATTCAGTGTTCTTGTTCAGTGGACCTTCTTTGGCTTATAAGCAGAGTGTAGAGAAGGAGCAGATAAGCTCTAACCTATGCCTGTTTAATATCAATTTTCTGGGAAGGCAGGCTGGCCCTCTTAGATAATGTAAGGGAGAGATCCTGACTTAAGATTAATAGGATTCAGAAGATTGTCAACTTGATTCTGATCAACTGAATGTACAGTTGAAGGTGCTAAGAGCTGTTGAGAAGAATTGCAGTAGCTTAATTAACAAGTCCTTGGCTTTTACAAAGTTAGTCTCAAAAAGCATGAAGCAAGTCAGTGGAGATTTTTTATGGATTTTGGAGGTAGGATGGTGCTGCAGCTAACTAGTTAATTAGAGACAGTGAGAAGCTGAGAACTATCTGAAATGTAAGCAAAGTAAAACAGGATACAATCACTTAAAAGCACAAGTAGATAATTAAATATTCCTAAACAAAATCATGACAACAGGATGTGTGTATTTTAAAAGGGAGAAGTTAACCTTTGATACAAATAGTTAAACAGTATAAGCATTCTATCCCTCACAACAAATAGTGTCTCCACAGTTTAACTTAAAAACCACCTTGGAAGACTAACAAATAATATGCCCACTTGTTCTTGAGAGCAGAAGTTGAAAGAGTAAAGAATTCTTGGTTTACACATTGTTAACAAGATGACTTCTAACTGAAATTGGCAATATCTATAGCATTTCTTTCCAAGATACAGGTAACAAAGAATAAGCTGATAAAATACGATACACCTGGGACTGCTTGTAAAAGATGACCTTACACAGACACGATTGAAACATCAGTGATTGTGATCGCTTTACATTTCATAAGACTTGAATTAGTAGATATTTTGGATCTTTAAACATCTGTGGATCTTGGTGAGGCTTGTAACTTTTCTTATGTCACTATGTAGTTTGAGATAGGGCTTTACTTCTGCTCTGAGCAAAGTTATGAATCATCTTCAGTTCTTCTAGGCAAGAAAAGTATGCATACTGTAGTCTGGATCGTAAATTAAAAAGACAAACCTAGAAACTTTCAGGTTGGAAAAAACCTTAAGATCATGAAGTCCAACCATCAATTTAACCCTACAAATCCACCAGTAAACCACGTCCCTAAGTATCTCATCCACACATCACTTAGATACCTCCAGGAACCGTGACTCCACCACTTCCATCAGATAGCTTGTTCTAATGTGTTGCTATTCTTTCTGTGAAGAAACTTCCTGATATCCAGTCTAACTTTCTTCTGGCACAACTTGAGGCCATTTCCTTGCACCCCATCAGTTGTCACTTGAGAAAAGACCAGCATCCACCTTGCTGCAACCTTCTTTCAGGTAGTTGTAGAGATCTAAGAGGTCTTCCCCTAGTCTTCTTTTCTCCAGACTAAACAGCCCTGTTCCGTAACCTTGTATACCTAGTTTTCTAGTCCCTTCACCAGCTCTGCTGCTCTTCTTTGCAAGCATTCTAGTAACTCAGTATCTTTCTTTTAGTGAGGGGCTCAAAAATTCCACATTACTAGTAGGTCCAAATCCCATGTTCTCTAGGTCATTCTTTTAGCTTATCCTTATATGCTGATGACTAATACCACTAGGAAACCTGCAGCAGCAACTATTCCAGAACATTCACGAACTTACACCGTAAGTCTCTTGAAATCATTACCATGGCTAGTAAAGCAAGTTTTCTTAACTAACTTTGCTAAGTATAGCAATTTGTACTTAACTTAGAAAGGAGTGTTTATGGAAAAAATAAACTAAAATACTGAATATATTTCTGAAAATATTCAGAAAATAGTCAGCTACTCTCATTTAATATGAAAATCTAAAATCAAGGAAGCAGACTTTTTTTTATATTTTGTTTTAATGGGAGAAGTGCATGAATTTACTAGGATGAAAACTTTATTTATTTATTTATTTATTTATTAATCCAGCTACAATTACTGACATAAATAGGCTAAAATAAGCTATACTACAGTGCCCATGGGAATTAAAGGGTAAAGAATCCAGGATGCCTTTCTGAGAGCACAAGAGCTCTCCGTCCCTCTGAATAAGGAAGTGGGCTGAGGAGGTAGGAAACTGGCATGGCTTGGCAAAGGACCTTCTGGGTGTGCTGACGGCAAAGAAAGGTGTGTACAAGCTCTGGAAGCAAGGGCGTGTCACTTGGGAAGAATAGAGGGATGCCGTCCAGACTTGCAGAGGTGGGATTAGGAAAGCCAAGGTGCAGGCAGAACTGAACTTGGAGAGGGATGTGAAAAACAATAGGAAGACATTCTACAGGTACATTGGCCAGAAGAGACAGGCCAAAGCGAGTGTACCTCCTTTGGTAAAAGGAGAACTGGCTTCAACGGAAGAAGAGAAGGCTGAGGTACTGAATGAGTTCTTTGCCTTGGTCTTCACTGGTGGCCAGGATTCCAGTATTTCTCACGTCCCTGAGCCCTGCATCCCTAAACCTCTAGGTGGGGACCAGGATGGTAAATCACCATGGGGGGCACTGTAAGGGCTGAGCAAGTCTAAGACCACCTCATGAGACTGAATGTATGCAAGTCTATGGGGCGTGCAACCCAGGGTTCTGAAGGAGCTGGCTGAGGTTGTTGCTGAGCTGCTCTCCATCATATTTGAAAAATCATGGCTGTCAGGTGAGATCCCGAATGACTGGAGGAAGGGTCATGTCACTCCCATTTATAAGAAAGGGAGCAAGGAGAACCCTGGGAACTACAGGTGGGTGAGTCTCGCCTCTGTACCTGGGAAGATCATGGAACAGATCATCCTGGATGACATGCTGGATCACATGAGGAATGAACGTGTGATCCGAGACAGCCAGCACAGCTTCACCAGAGGAAAGTCATGCTTAATCAATCTGTGGCCTTCTATGATGGAGTGATGGCTTGGTGGACAAGGGAAATGTGACCTATGTCACTTACCTGGACTTGAGCAAGGCCTTTGACATGGTTCCCCACCACATCCTTATCTCCAAATTGGAGGAATGTGGATTTGATGGGTGGACCACTCAATGCATAAAAAACTGGTTGAAAGGCCACAGACAGAGGGTGGTGATTAATGGTTTTATGTCCAGGTGGAGGCTGGTAACATGCGGCACCCGCAGGTGCTGTCTTGGGACCAGTGCTCTTTAACATCTTTATCAATGATGTAATTGAGTACATCCTCAGCAAGTGCTGAGTGGTGTGGTAGACACAGCGGAAGGAAGGAAGGGATGTCATTCAGAGAGACCTCAACAGACACAAAAGACGGGCCCAGGTGAACCTAATGAGGTTCAACACAGCAAAGTGCAGAGTTTTGCACTTGGGACTGAGGAATCCCAGGCATCCATACAGACTGGAAGGAGCGGTCCTTGAGAGCAGCCTTGCAGAGAAGGACCTGGGGGTCTGGATAGATGAAAAACTTAACATGAGCCAGCAGTGTGCTCTTGCAGCTCAGAAAGCAAATGGTATCCTAGGCTCTGTCAGAAGAGGGATGGCCAATAGGGACAGGGAGGTGATTGTCCCCCTCTACTCTGCTCTTGTGAGGCCCCATCTGGAGTATTGTGTCCAAGTGTGTGGAGCCTCCAGTACCAGAAAGACATGGAGCTGTTGGAGAGGGTCCAGAGGAGAGCCACAAAGATGATCAGGGGACTGGAGCACCTCCCCTACGAGCACAGGCTGAGGGAGCTGGGCTTGTTCAGCCTGGAGAAAAGAAGGCTGCAGGGTAACCTCATTGCAGCCTCTCAATACCTAAAGGGAGCCTACAAATAAGAGGGGAATCAAGTCTGAAAGCGTTGATACTGCAGGACAAGGGGAAATGGTTTTAAGTTGAGAGAGGGAAGATTTAGGTTGGATGTCAGGGGCAAGTTCTTTACTATGAGTGATGAGGTGCTGCAAGCCCAGAGAGGTTGTGGATGCCCCATCCCTGGAGGTGTTCAAGGCCGGATTGGATGGGGTCCTGGTCTAGTATTAAATGAGGTTGGTGGCCCTGTCTGTTGCAGCGGGCATGGAGATTCACGATCCTTGAGGTCCCTTCCTATCCTGGCCATTCTGTGATTCTGTAAAGGCAGAATGTTATACAAAAGGAAAGCTGGAAATATGAAGATAATTCTTTAAATATATTAAATGCAAGAAAGATACAGAGTTTTCTTTGGTGTATTGATTCATATACGTGATGTTGTATTAACATAACTTCAGCAGCAACAATATTTTACAGTTGAAGGCATGTGCTCAGACAGGTTCTGCACAAAAGCAGGACTACATGTAAACTGGACTTACAACTGGAGAGTTCTACAAATACAACAGAGTCCCTGGCACATATTTTGACTTTATCTACAGTGGCAAAATATCTCAGTGTCTACCACAAGTGTGCAAAATGGTGCATGCAGTATCATATCAGCTGTAATATTTAGGACAGCAGGAAAATGCAACTTCATTCCAAATGCCTAGAGACATGGTTATTTTGTACAGGGCATGTACCTACATGTCAGATCTTTATAAAAAGTAACTGTTCTACTTTGAGTGGGAGGTAGAGTAGAAAACAGGGCCATTTCAGATGGCTTAGTGGAACTCCGACAGGTTCTTCAGCAGTCAGTAGGGACAGGAAAGCCATAAACTTGAGCATAGGAAGTTCCGTACTAGCATGCAAAGGACCTTCTTCATGGTAAGGGTGATGGAGCACTGGAACAAGCTGTCGAGGGAGGTTGTGAAATCTCCTTCTCTGGAGATATTCAAGACCTCCCTGGACACCTATCTGTGTAGCTGGCAGTAGGGGACCTGCTTTGCAGGGGAGATGTACTCGATCTCTGGAGGTTCCTTCCAGCTCCTACAATTCTGTAATTCAGCTTTATACTTCTTAAGGTGCAGAAAATCTTAACAGTGACTTCCAAAAACTTTCTAAAACTCAAGTGTGTATTCTAATGCTACTGAGGATTCTTTATAGCATGCTAAGACTTAGCGCTTCATTGTATCTGTACCTTTTAAAAAGAAAAGAAAACAGTAGATGTGTATGATCAAATAGATCCATTGTTCCAAGTAGAAATTATAGAAAGGAGATCAATACTCTCAAGACATGAAGAGGATATTCAAATGGAAAATTTTCCTCATCTTATGTTGTGCTTTGTGCTTAGCGCCTTCTTTCTCAGAAACTCAAAGCTCTCAGTAGGCTAATAATAATCAATTTAGCCTCACAACATCCAGTGAGGTAGGTAAGTATAAACCCATTTCACAGATAGGAAAACTAAGGCAGAATTCTGAAGTAACTTGCCAGTGGTAAAATCAGAATACATTTCCAGGAATCCAGATTCCATTGCTCTGTACAATTAAAGTCACTCCCTACTAACACAAAGCAAGCAATACATGCAACATTTTTCCCTTCTGCTGCTGTGATTCTGGTGACAGGAAGGAAGTGAATATATTTTCCCGGTTGAATTCCCACTTTCTTTGGCAAAAGATTCATCTGTAATACACTCTTTGCAGAGGTGCTTATTCCTAGAAACAATAGAAAAAAGATGGTTTCTCTGTAGCAGAGAGACTGCACAGGTTCAAGCAAGGTAGAATTATTTCCTGCAGAAGACTTGCTGCTTGGCATTCTTCACACGTTGTTCTTCTTTCAGGTTCTTCTGCCGTGCATGTTTGCTGGAGATGAGCTCCACATGTTCTGAGGGGAACCATCCCCTCTCCCTGTCTGAAAGTCTCACTCCTTCCATCCATCCTGTAGGAGTGGGGACAAACACAACATGAGGCAAAATAGGTGAGGATTTTTCCATTACTCTTCCCTCAAACCTCACTCCAACAAAGCCCTAAAGCCCCTTTCAGCTTCCATATAAAATTCTTTAATGAAGATAAAAAGTCTCTTCATTCTTTCAGATGAACAACCACAAATGAGAAGCTCCTTCTGAAGCTGGATTGTGCTGTTAAAAGCTTTACACTACTTAAGTAACTTGCTAACCATAATTTTAGATATCGTTCATTCTGCTCACCATCATTGCTGTATTGCATAACCATGATGATATCTGCTTTCTCCAAAGCTAGCTCATCATTTTCCCGAGCTTTGTACATCCTTATGCATTGAACCTGTGGTGCATCTAATAGGAGAGGAAAGATCATAACGGTATACAAGAAAGTAACAGTAAATCTCTATGTATCAGCCCAGATGAGGAAGGGGATAAAAGATTGCCCAACCACTGAAGAGCAGAGAATTGGATGGGAGATTACACATCTTCTACCAAATGAGGAATAAAAAATAAGTAGAATGACTGACAGAACCTGGAACTGAGGAGAAAAAAACATGAATATATTTTAATTACGTAAAGGAAAATATTCTGCCATGGAGTCATTCTGGGATAATCCACCTTGCAGTAATTCCAAGTTGCCCACTCTCCTTGGTAATAATAGCAGAGCAGTCTTACCAGGACATTCCAGGAGGTCCAATTCCCCTTGTGGAGGAACCAAAGCAGAGATCCACCTCAGTTTCTCACTGCTGAAAAACATCACCAGGTATGTGTCAGATTTCAGTGTGAGGGACAGCAGTGTAAGAGTGCACGTGTATGTGTGCACATGTCCATCCTCACAGGAGGGTCAGCAAGTGGGTCCTTACAGAAGTAGGGGAAGAAGTGGAAAAAAGGGTGGGACAAGGCAAAACTCCCATTTTTTCAGGCTGATGGTATGAAATGACATTGTAGTATTCTATAAGCAGCTGTGATGAGAGAGGAGCAACATGATTCATTAGGAACTCGTTATGGCAAAAGGATGATTTCTGAGTTTCCATTCAGCAGCTGTGCTTTATATTTCAGCATATTGGTAGTTAAGGGACAACCACGAGGCTCATAGGAGGTGACTGGTTATGGCATTGGGACATATTAAGGTAACCTTGAGCGAACTCACTGTGTCTCTGTGCGAAATAGAAACTCCACTCTCTTTCCCTGGCAATTCTGAAGTAGAAAGAGACGGAAAACATTTTTGTTTGTTCCATGCAGTTTCATCTCACACTTTTCCCCACGCACATCTGAGAAAGCAGCATGATCAAACACAACAAAACGTCCACCCCTGCAGGTAAAGAGGAGGAACAAAAATTGTGAGTATTAAGGTGATGAAGGCTAACAAGTAAGTACATGTAATTGCCTGATGTTAGGAAAGCAAGAAGCTTTTAATGATTACTGATCTGCTTCAGACACCATAAGCTTTGTTTTTGCTGGAAATCTGAGAAGGCAAGAGAAGATTTAACTAAAAGGGTAGAAATACAACCTTTGCAAACTCTGTCAAGATTTTATGTAATAGATTACAGCATAATAAAAACACCATCTTTTCACCCACCTTTTTAAACTACTTTTTCTGTTTCATTAATTTGTACATTCATGAGACTTCATACTATCATTTAGGAGGAAATTATTCTCTGAGTATGTAACAATCAGAAAGATCAACAAGATGGATAGGTGATACTGGAGGTATAATGACAGGGGGACTAATGCAATAGAAAGATGTTGTAAGGCAATGAAAAAGGACTGCTTACCTGTCTCAAAGATTAGGCTCACAGGGGAAAACTCCACAAAGGAGGGATCTTCTGAAAGAGATCCTTCCACAGTGGCAGATAGTCCTTACAGGAGGTCTAAGAGAGGTGGAGCCAAGCTGTCTGTGCCTGCGCTCCCAGAGCTGACCAAGTCCTTTCCCCAGGTGCTCAATCAATGGTTCAGGCCATAACTCCATAGTTACCATACAGAGTATAACTATAATAAATTGCTATTAAAGCATTTCATATTATAGAGATAGACAGAATGGAAATATTGTACAATGAAGTGCCCAGTTATATTGTTTTGTTTATATTTTGATAAAACATCAGGAATGTCACTTAAGTGATACTCACGTAATGCAAGGTTAGGAAATGACTTGACAAATGCCGCCACTTGCTGGCAGCCAGAAGGAACTGACTCTAATTAAAGCACAGACCCAGAAGGATGCATTTTAGAAGGGACAGCAAGAACTGTGGCTGAAGCACTCACTCCTTTGGCCGAGATAGGAGCAGACAGTCATTGAAGAGATGTAGGCAGATAGGACGCGTGGTGACTTTCCATTTTGGACTTGGAGTATTGAAGTCCAGCGCTGTTAATTCACCACACTTCACTAGTCGCCTTGACTGTGAAACGAGTGGGAATATCTACAAGACAGAAGTAATATTTATGTGAGGTGTATGCAAGGAAAAAAGTATCCATGAATTTTGGATTTTGATCTTTCTATAGAGGAAGCATACTTTCATTTCTTCAGCTGGACCAAGACAATTTGTCTAGAGACCTTCAACTGAATTCTGACACAAGTGTTTGGGTAAGGGAAGCACTGATGAAGAATTGAGCTGTGTAAGCTGTTGAACCAGCATATCAATGTATACAAGGGAGGAAAACAAAAGAAAGCACAAGTGACTTTGTAAGGAATGAGATGAAAGATATTAGGCTAGAGCAAGGCCAAGGGCATGGACAATCTCACCTTGCACTCAAATTCTATCTTCTGGCTGAGGTAAATCAACTCTTCAGTGCTTTTCATGCGTTGAACATTTTCATTGCAGTCTTTGATGAGCTGCAGAGGAAAATAGGTGATAGTGAGGTGCAGCACTGCCTACTGGAATCAGTATTGTTCCCAGGAACCTATGAAGAATCATTAAATTACAATTCTTGGGCATCCTCCTGAGGGAAAAAAAAAAAGAAAATTTCAGACAAGCATATTAAAACTTATCCATACCTTCAATGACTGTTGTTTTTTTTTTTTCATTGAAGTTTTCATCTGAATTTCTTAAGAAGTCTCTGTGATCTTAATAATCCTTCTGGGTTCCTTCCAACTGAGGATATTCTATACATATTGTTTTAACTTGGGGATACTAGGAGGGATAGTAGAGACTTCCTTCTCCTTTCAGATAACAGAAGTTTAATTACCAGTTATTTGGATGGAGCTTTTATTTGATGCTCCACTGTAAAGACAGGAGGATGATTAGATAAACATCAGGCCAGATTTTTCACAACCCAGAGCTTTTTGCAGTAACTCTGAGGACTTGATACAACAGAAATATTTCAGTCTTAAAGCTGCCCACATAGCTGTCTGAGGTGATACAAGGTAGCTATATGACAGTGTAGCAGAGGTGGCTTAAATTACACAACTAAATTACAGAATTCCATGTATGATATCTTACTCACCTGTCTCAGACCATAGTATTCTGGGATCTGTGCAGAAGGCAAGTGCAGTTCTTCAGATTTTAAGGAGCTATGCATCATGTAGAACTGGTGTTTAGATTTGTGGTATAGAGTTGCAGAGTAATTACAAGAAAGGGAGTGACACTCCAAGAAGGTCAAATGAAGACTAAACAAAACAAGGGCACAAGGGCTACCAAGGAAAAAGTTAATTTTGCAGTACAATTTGCAGGTAACAAATACTCTCAGAAGACATTAAGTCTTGCCTCTTTAATAAACAGAGAGTAAGGATGAATGTATTAAACACCTTGAGATTTTTTTTTTTAAAAGAGCAAGATCTTCTTGAAGAAGTGAGTGATAAATTGATAGCTAAATAGAGACAAAGATAAAGAGCACAAGGAGAGATAACATTTAGGAGACTGGTATAAAGGACCAGTGAAAAATGCTTTCAGGCTTCCTGTGGTATGTTTGGTAGGTTTCCAACACCTTAGAACAAGGCCATGGCTATGACTACAAACCAAAGACTGATAACAGTGAAGTATGGGATCATGTGAAATAACAGGGTAGTCTCTGTCCAAAAAAGAGACCTACTTTCCCCACAATAAAGTTTTCGCTACAAACTTACTGTTGCAAACTTGCTTGTTTACAACCTTGGGATGGTATACCTGCAAGTCCAGCAGGCATAAAAGGATGCCTGAGAGAAGCTTCAGGGGGCTTTTAACTTTCTGCTATTTTCTAGTTAGAGAATTCAACCTTTGGATGAGCTCACCCCTTCCCCTCATCTATTCTCCAGCACTGGTGGGCAAGCACTAGAACTCCTTGAAATGGACCAGTGATGTCTTTCTTTGTCTCTCATTCTTTCTCTACTTCTCTCTCTCCCCTTCTTTTTCCTCTTGATCTTCTTTTACTCATTTTCTTTAGTAGCCATTGCCTAAATTTACCTTGAAACACTTGATAAGTGCCAAAGTATCCTTTACCCATAACATTGGTTAACTGTTGTTAGAAAGTTGCCTAATCTTGACTTGAAGTAGTTGACTTATCCTTGTTAGAAACTTGTTTAATTTTGCCCTGGACTGTTATTTGAAACCTCAATGAATCTTCTTGCATAGTTCCTGTGAGTAACTATCTGACTCCACCACTTTGGTGACTCATGCAGAGAAGGGAGTGCCCTATTTTGGGGTCTCCAAAGATTTACCTCCCTTGCAACCCACTGATTAGACAACTGGAAAGATGAATCCTGAGTTAAGTGTTATTGGCAAAGATTCAGTTGCATCCCAGCTAGGTCCTGTCTTAGTGCTCAATGCAGAAGATGCACAGGAACATAGTAATTTATTATAGGTGACAATCAGTAATATGGGCCATTGGCAGGGGTCACAAGTGTGAGAGTCAATAGAAAAAGCATATACCGACACCCTGAAGCTCTCCAACTGTGTATGGCTGTGGAGAACAGGTTGACAGCCTTACCTTTTCAAGTGCATCATAGGCCTGTGTTGCTTGCACTTCCTCCTCAGACCCAGGCCGAGTTCTCTTCAGGATATTCTGCATGAGAAAAAGCATTTTTCATAATGTAGACAAGAAGAGCAGAGCTCTCAGAAGGGCTCAAGAAACAAGGAGACATTAAGATATAGCCTCAAGAGAGAATGAAGTAGTGGTAGGAGATGTGGAGATAACAAGGCCAGAAATTTAAGATGCAGGATGCAGTTGACAAGCTGCACTGAACAGGGCATCCCTGAAAATTTAAATGGAGTTAACTATCCTCTGTATGTTACATGATATAGGAGACAACCACTACTCTGAGCACAGTCTTAAGTGCAGAATAATTCTTTGCCTGATACCCCTTTTCTCCTTTCCAAAAGAGGCTCAAATAACAAAAAAAAAAGTTCCATGGAAGTGCTCAAGGTTGATTCACTGGGGACTTGCATGTTGACTTAATAGGAGTGTCCCAGAGAGACAATGTTGCAGGCAAAGAATAGAGACAGATCGCCTTCCAGAGGGCAGCCAGGGAACATGTGCCTTCTAGAATGAAGCAAAAAAAACCCAAAAAAACAAAAAAAAAATACAAACAAAAAACAAACAAAAAAAAAAACCAACAAAACAAAACAAAACAAAACAAACAAAAAAAATTTAAAACACGTTCAGAGTTACTCAATTAATTATTCATTGGTATGTAACTGTTGTAGTGTTACAACTAAGTCCTAATAATATACAAAAATATATTGCCTCACAAGAGAGACTGTATCCAATTAATGGCATTGATCTAGCACACACCCATTTATCATTGTACAAATGCCTGCTTTATTTTTTGAAATGCATATTCATAATAAATGCAATGGAGTTGCTTTAGGGCATCTAGCCAAGCTTATCACACAGAGCATGTAGAGCTGTATGCAGCCCATCCCGCTAGTGCTTGATGCTAGTTCATATTTAGTGACTTTCGGACTTGAAGAAGGGTCAGATTAAAAGAAAGTGTAGAAAAACTGATAAATGAGCAGTAACCTGCAGGAGGAGTTTAAGTCGAGTGATGCGCTGGAAAGGGAGGATGAGGAAGGATTTAAGTGAGAGGCGCTGGCATACTGGATCACTTTCCAATCTTTCCAGGACTTGTTGAAATCCTGCATTTCCACTCCTGTGGGAAAGTAAATGAGAAAGCATATGCAGGCATCAGAGCAAATAAATAGTCTTTCTAGCAGAGAAAGAGTACCAGATTTCAGTGAATGTTGAAGTATGCCAGTCACTGCAGTCATGTTTTGGCCCTAGAGCAAGAAATGTCAAGAAACTGGACCACTCAGCATAGTTAGAATAAGTATAGGTTTCTAACAGCTATAGGAGGGCAACACTACAATAAAGATCTTGTTTGATCTTTCTTCTTTGTGGTATAGTACTCTGGAATAACCAGAAGTAGCATCTATGTTTCAGTCTCACCTACAAAAAGGGTACCTTTCACAAAATAGTTGTGGTTTGTATCCTTTCTTAATACCAAATGGCCTAGCTCCAGGGGCTTTACCCAGGGAGTGGAAAAGCTGCTCCCACAATCTTGCTACTGCTGGGAAGAGTATTACACCTGCCTTACTCTCTAATGTGTTGCTTAATGTCTTAGAAACAGCCACTGCCATCCAGTTTTCTGTCTTCAGCAGCAGCAGATACAAGAACAATGGTATGCAAGTGGCATCTACTGCCAGAACAGTCCAATTCTATATCCCTGAAGAGTTGGAAAAGAAGCTTTTATGCCCAGAAGTATCTCACAAGTAGCCATTGTGCCCACAATACCCTAGATGATATTCTGAAGGTTCTTTCTGTGCAGAACTGAGCCTTCACTCAAGGAAACCAATGGTAAGACTAAAAGTCTCCCAGTCAGCAGCACCCAGAGCACCCAATGCCTGAATGACTTGTTTCGAACAGTGACATCAACTAGGATTGTTTTTTTACTGATGATAGTGCAGAAGTCCTAAGGAAACTTTGCTCATGACTGAGCCTGAGCAGTGCTTGATTGTGCCACTGAGTGCAGAAGACAACAGCAAGAGAAACTCATGATGCTCTGGCCTTAAGATTTTCAATCCATTTCAAACACTCTTGAATAGCCAGTTTAGATTTAATGGCAGCAACCATACTTTTCTTAATTATCACTTTCAGGTTCTTAATAGTCTGAAAACCACATACTGACAACAACTGTCTAGAACAATCATTTTTGCTCTAAGGTTGTGGCAATTGCCTTCAATAGAATATTTCTACTGAATGTTATTCTCTTACATTATCTCAGTTGTTCTTTTTCTCCTCTCAAAAGAGGAGCCTTACAGAATCTCCGACCGTCTGTTCCAAATGCTACTGAATTGAAGAAGGCTTCTACCTTTTCTTCTGGAGATGTACTGCAAACAGATGTACCAGCAGATGTACAACAGATCATACTTGCTGTATGCCTGTCACTTGAAACAGTGCACATCAGAAGTGCAGCAAGCAAACAGGAGGCTGTAGAAGGTTTCAACAAATTTTAAAAACTTACAGTAACCGCTGGAAGGTTTGCTCCTGGTATGTCTGGTTTGTTACATATGGTAGATAGACCCTGCGGAACTCAGGAGCATGTTTCAGAGCCACATCACATACATGGAAGGTGAACATGTCCTCTTCAAACTTCTCTTCCAAGTCAAAAAGGAAACTGCAGCACACAGTTGTGGTGCCATAGAAGGAGAGAGAAATCTATGTTTAATGACTTACATTTAATTGATTTCAAATCAGGTACTGTCATATTATGTCTGTAATCTTATTTACTTATATTTGATTCAGGATTGTGCAGCTGCACCGTCTGCACATATATTTTGTAAAAGTTGCATTTGGTTTGGACTGAGGTCTAGTTACTTGTTTGCAGTCAGTGCCACTAAGACATGGCAGCATTTTGAATATTCTGACTCTGTAATGATCTCTGAGCACAGTTATATCATTTCCAGTTGTTTGAAGGCTGTAATTTGCACTTCATGGAGGGTGTTAGATGTGGAAGTAAGGGGCTGTAATCTCACCTGGCACTGACATCACGTACATCCTGAAGGCGTGAGAAAAGCCACTGACGCTCCTGATTGCTGAGAATTGCCTGGAGTTCTGTTGATCGCTGGAAGTGATCCACTGCCACATTTAAACTGCGCAGATAGGAAGCCTCAGACATTATCAACTCAAATTTGGCCTTGAGAGAAGAAAAAAGGGAGCAGAACATCAGCAGACCAGGCAAGCCTGCAAGGAATCTTATTAGGTGGAGATGGGATAAAGCAAGAAAACTTTTTAGTATGCGATGTGTGCAATTAATTACAAAATAAGAGAAACTTCAGGAACGAAAGACAGCTTGCAGTATGACTTAAAACAATAGTTACCTGTTCTAATTTTAGTTTTCATTCTTAGACTCCACTTTCCCCTATGTTATGTGCTCCCATAAATTATCCAGCATCAACACTGCCTATGTTCTTTTTCTCCTTCATGTTTCACATGCTGTTGTTTTTTTCCTCTTTCTCAGGGTTCTCCCATCCACTTGTTTGTCCCTCCAATCTTCCTTAACCTGTTACTCCATGTACCAATTTGCCGAATACATACATATATCTTCTCATTCCCCCTCAGCCCTGCAGCACATGTGGGTCAATTCTCTCATAAGCTTAAGTGTGGGAGAAAGCTCAGTTTTCTATTTAAGATTCTATTTTTCATCAAATTTGTTCAAAATTCCTTGTTTTCTCTTGTTCCAATTTCCTAACATCTGTTTTCATGAAGTTAGTGATAGAATTTTTATCTTATTTCTGTGCTTCTTCTACCAACAATGCAGAACTTCAGCATTGTATTACTTCATAAGTACTGACACCACATTCCCAAACTGCTTACATGACACGGTGACCTCTGCATTCAACCACTGCATTCCCACATCAGGCATTTTTGCTTTCCACTTTAACCACCGTCCTCCATCCTCCTTGACTACAAGCCACCAATCTACCTTATTACATCTATCCATTACCTCTTGCAGCTTCTGCTCATCACGGGACATATTGAGTAATATTCTGCTGCCCCGGATCATGGGGATATCCTGCCAGAGGGATGCGTTTGATGACACTGACAGACGTTGCAAATATGAGTCCTGGGGAGACAACACTTTCCTTCGTAGCCTCGGGGAGCTTGGCAAACTCGATTCTGTATCCTCTGTAAAAGAATCCACTCTCTTCTGGCTTTGAATGGCCTTGTTCAGAACCACATCACTGTATTCCTGATACAGCAACTTCGCTGTGAAGAGAGGCATATATTTTTACACTTTCTATGAAGCTATCTGCCCTCTACTTCAGTCTGGAGAAAACTGTTAGGATAACATTAAACCATATGTATCTACTATCAGCCATGTAGTGACCATGACTATGGCTTCACTGCCTCCACTAAACACTCCTTTCTAATGCTCCCAAGTGACAAAACCAACAGCAAGGGTGGGAGATGACAGAAGATAGTGGTCTGCCATAGCACTTCAAGCAGAAGGTACTTACAGGAGTTGATGAGTTTGGAGTGCCGACGTTTGAAGGTCCCCATTGAGTCTGCAGGTTTCTTTTCTCTGTTAGGAAGTAAGGATTTGCAAACACAGAGAAAATGAAGAGCACAGTGCCAGTGATGGATAACCCAAATCTTAGTAATGGATCTGACACAAGGCCCTGTCTAACAAGCTCAAGCTCCACATACTTTACGTTAGAAAGAACAAAGTTTGGCTTGATGGAAATACTGTCCACTGGACAGAAATACTTCTGCTGCAATGGAGTCCTCTCCTACAGGACATGGAGAGGAACACAGCTGTAAGTCACTTTAGCATAGTTTTCTACTTATCTTCATTTGGATCCCTTAGAAACAATGGTAGAGCATCAGGTATCTGTGCTACACAGGCATGAGGCCAAAATCAATGGAGCATGGAGCCTTTAAGAGACTTACCGCAATATAACTGTTTCTGAATTGACTGGTGGTTCCCTGTGCACCTTGTGTACTTCTTCCTCTGAATGAACAGGACAGACTTCTGTTACATAAGATAATTAGAAGGTAAACACAAATACAAATGTAGAGTCGAGCTAGAATCACAAAAGACACAGATACCCCTTATCATACCCTATCTATGCAACAGTCTTAAGTCTACAGCACAAATGCCTTCCTGAACTTTATTTCTGGTTTTTGTAATCCTTGGCATTACTTATACTTTAGAACTATAACTTAGTTACATTTGCTTTTCATACCAATAGAAAGGTTGATACTTTCAGAAGTGACAGTATCTCTAAGAGCACAGATTTTCAGTTGCCTAAGCAAAGCTACTGCCTGCAGGCCCTATATTTGCAAGATGCCTTTTCCTTTCCTTGCCTTTCAGCAACTTGGGCCAAGTATGTGAGAATCTAGACTTGCTTTTGCAGATGTTGAGCTCCAAAAACTCCCAGTAGCATCCAGAACAGAAATACCAAACACCTAACAAAATTACACATTCCTAGAGTCTTATAAAGGATGACACCTCCATGAGAATGATAGGTGTTATCCAAACCTTGCATTTATGTGCTCTGATTGCTTACAAACTGCTGTTTGAGACAGCATCTGTTTATATTATAAAATGAAGAAAATGTGGGCTTCCCTTTCTTTCTGTAAGAGGTTTAATTAAATGAGTGGAGAAATTACAAATACATTCATCAGAAGCAGAAAAAGGAAGTGAGACTAGAGACTGAGCTGTAAATATAAGTCAGGGAAAAGAACTGCTGCTTTGAATGTTTTAAAATATTGAACAAAAAATGTACAGGTCGAATACATGAAGAAATTTTGATTTGAGTGTGCCACCAAACTCTTTGCACCCCTCAGCCATTCCCTCCTTTCCCTCCATAACAGAACTCCAGCACATTGTGGAGGTTGGAAAATAAACTTATTAATTTCTAAGAAAAAAAGCCAGCATGTTTAAAATATTGTATGAGGGCTACTCCAAAACTACTGCCTTCTATTTTATTATGCTGGCCCACAACATCCAAGGCAGATCATGATGGTGTGAGAGATATAGAGATTCAATCCAGATTCAACCTTTCCACCAATATTCTGTTACATTTTGTTGCCTTGTAATAGATGGCAGCAGAGGGCAGTCTGACAAAATGGCTTCATATGCTCCAGGTCAGATACCAAGGTATGGAACTGAATTCTTTCATACAGAAAAAATTGCACCTTCTGATATTCATTGACATTTGCTCATGTTTATGGAGATCAAACAATGGATGTTAGCAAAGTGAGGCAGTGGGTGGTGTGTTAAAGCAGGCGCAACAGGGTGACCTCCACTAGTAAAGACTTTACAAGTGCATCATGCAGGCTCTTGTTCATTGCTGGCAAAAATGCATAGCTATTGGTGGTGGCTATACTGAAAAACAGTGTTTTGCAGCTAAGAATTAGCTCTATCAAATAGCATTATTGCTCTCTTTGTTGTAGTTTACATGGAAATAAATAGGAGGCATTTTCATATAATATACATATAATATATAGGAGGCATTTCAAATAAATAGGAGGAACTTTCAGAGCAACTTGGTGTCATCTGCAAACTTACTGAGGGTGCACTCAATGCCCTCATCCAGGTCATCAACAAAGATATTGAAGAGGATAGGCCCCAGCACCGACCCCTGGGGAACACCATTCGTGACAGGTCGCCAGCTGGATTTAGATCCATTCCCTATTGCACTTTGGCTGCAACAACCCCAGGCAACGCTACAGGCTTGGGGCAGAGTGGCTGGAAGACTGTGTAGAGGGAATGGACCTGGGGGTATTGATTGATGCTTGGCTGAATATGAGCCAGCAGTGTGCCCAGGTGGTCAAGAAGGCCAATGGCATCTTGGCTTGCATCAGGAACAGCGTTGACAGCAGGGACAGGGAAGTGATTGTCCCCCTGTACTCAGCTCTGGTGAGGCCACACCTCGAGTACTGTGTCCAGTTTTGGGCCCCTCACTGCAAGAAAGACATTGAGGCCCTGGAGCAGGTTCAGAGATGGGCAACAAAGCTGGTGAGGGGTCTGAAGCACAGGCCTTATGAGGAGCAGCTGAAGGAGCTGGGATTGTTCAGTCTGGGGAAGAGCAGGGGGTCGGCCTCTTCTCTCCTGTAACTTGTGATAGAACTAGAGGGAATGGCTTCAAGCTGCACCAAGGGAGATTTAGGCTGGACATTAGGAAATACAATTTTTCTGAAAAAGTGATCAGGCACTGGAATGGGCTGCCCAGGGAGGTGGTGGAGTCACTGACCCTGGGGCTGTTATTTAAGTGCAACAAAACACAATGGCTATATGATGGCTGCAGAGGTGATTAACAGCTGCAAATAGCCCCACAAAAAACCCAGCTCTAGCAAGTAGGCTAAAATTGCTCATGTTACTGTGTAAGGGCAGCAGATCAATAAAGACAGAGAAGGAATAGGAAGTGAAATAAGGTCTCTGCTGCATGTGTTAGTGCAAGCAGGGGAACTAATTCCCCATGTGCAGCAGGAAGCACCTATCATGGGGTAGCAGACAGGAGTTTAGGAGAGAGCAGTGTGATAGCAGCCCGGAAATGCACAAGGGGCTGCAGTTCCAAGTACTGCCAGAAATGCACAAAAACACTGCCACACTTTCAACTCTCATGACTTTCTATCACATTGCCTATTTAACTACAGACTTTTGATAACTGCATTAAGTTTTGCAGAGTGAAGAAGAGTAGCTAGAGATGGAGGATGGACTCACCCTGAAAGATGTCTGGTGGTACAGATATCCTTTTTAGGCCCTGACGGTGCCAGTCCTTGCTTTTCACTCTGCACTTACTCAGACTTTCTTGACTGGTTTTTGGCTCTTTTGCAACTACCCCAATTGTTTTTTTGTCTGGCCAGCTTGATGATTTTTCCAAAGGTAAATGTTTTGGTACTTCTTTTGATTGAGATACCAAACGGTATTTTTCTTGTCCTTCTAGCCTTTGTTTTACTCTTCCCTCACTTTTTGCTTTCTCTGTAATTGTTGAAGCGTGGATGTTCTTTGTGTCCACATCAAAGAGGTCTGTCCGCTGCACCCACTGCAGCTCTCCTGATACCTCAGCTTCTTGGCAGATTGTTTGAGCAGTTGGTGGTGATGGAGGGCTTAGCTGGAGAAAGTGAATTGGATTGGTGAATGCTAGCATTGGAAGGGAATGTACAGAGTCTCTGCTCTCTGAGTCTGTGAATGTTCCCAAATCTTCCAATGAGGACCAAGAAAGGTGGTCAGGTGAGGATTTTTCACACTGTATACTCTCATGCTGAATCACTGTTTCAGTGCTGGTGTCAGAACAGCTGGCCAATGCCTCATTTCCAACAGCAGAAAAGCCTTTGGCCAACAAACTGACCCCTGAGTCATTAGAAGTCTCTGTATCTCGGATACCCAAGTCACAGAAATTGTGCTCTTTAGTTGCTGGAACAAAGACAACTTCGTCTGTAAGACTTTTATCAGGAGAAAAGTTGGCAGTGCTAGCATCAGATACAATAGCAGCAGTCCATAAAGGATGGCTTATAGTAAGGGCTAGTAAGTCATGATCGTCCATATTACAGTTCAGATGTGGCTTGGAGTTGGGTACAGGAGTCAGTGTCTCATGACTCTCAAGAGCTAGAGCCTGGACACAGTGACTGTCATTAGGTGCAGGGGCCTGAGCTTGAACAGGGCTTGGGACATGGGAAGGAAGGTGTTTGGCATCAGGCTCAGACACCAGAGTTAGGCTTGTGTTAGGCTTAGGAGACAGAGGTCGTCCTCCCTGGTTTACAGCAAGGACCGTATCTCCTTCAGGGGGCCAAGTTAGGGTGCTCAGGATGCTTGAGATTCTAGATCCAGGATTCCAGTCAGACTGATCAAATAAAGGTATCTGTTGTGCTTTGTGAAACACATTTGTTCCAGTTTCATTTTCTTGCATAATGGCACTTTCTTCTGGTGGATCTTGGTACTGAAGAATTGTTCCTGGTTGGTTCAAGGTAGTGGAATTCCTGACCCATGTTTGAGTTGATTCCAGAGGCTCTGTAACAAAAAACAGTGTTTCTCTGTCCCCAGGAAGGCTCTTCTTTGCAGGAAGAGAGCTTGTATATACTACAGAGAAAGAAGATGAGACACTAAGGTCTTCACGAAAGTCTTCCTCAGGAGCAAGCAGTTCATAGGAACCACTGCCCTCCTCTGGATCAGCAGTTAAAACAATAGTTTCCACTGATGCCAAATCCTGCATGCACACAGAAACAGCTTGGTTAGCATGCTTCTCTATAGAGTATGACAATTTATTCAAGCTGGAACTAGGACAGTCCTTAGGGTTCACCAGGGCTCCTCCACCAACGTCCTCTTGCTGTGGGCCAGACATCGAAGCCACAAAAGTGAGCTTTAAGGGTAAATTTGAAACAAAGTCACAAAACTCAGCTTTTCGTAAGTTTTCTGCAATGGGATGAGAATCCACAGGATCTTTTGGGTCCATCTTCTCAGTACCAGTGGAGGAATATACTTGAACAGAAGCCTCACGGCCCTCTATGCTAGAAGGTGCTGCCACTCCTCCACAGTGTGGAGCTTCTCCTTTGTCAAATATCTGGGCAGCCTTTCCAGGTTCACCACTGTGCTCACCCTTCCCACCCAGCTTTATGTTGTCATCCCTGTCAACTTCTACACTATTTTGACTGGTCATGGAAAAGCGGACAGTGTCTTCCAGCTCTTCCAGGTCAGAGATATGGTACACGTGCAGAGGCACCACTGGAACTTCACCCATTAGGTTCAGGCTCTCTGATGGGAAAGGGCTGGCAAAAGGTGTCTGACATCTAGAACTCACTGCTGTGACTTGAGCTTTGAGCAGCACACTCTCACCAAGATGCTCTCTCATGAAATCACATTCCCCAGGAAGTGCTGTTCCAGTTTGCTCAGCCAAGAAGACATTTTCCAAACTACAGAAGTCCACTTTATGCCTGGGCATATAAAGTGTCTCTGAAAGGAGAGTTGATGCCATCGTCTTCAATCTGAGCTCTTCCCTCTGTTGTTGCTGTTCCTGTTCATTTTGTTCCTTTTTTTCTTGCTTTTTGGGCTTCAAAAATTTTCCTTCTTCTTGCATGTTCTGGTCTTTGCACTCTTTCTTCTCTTGTTCCTGCTGAAGTTCAGCCACTGCTTCCTTCTGTGCTGTTTCCTTATGTTGTGAAGTATTCATTCGTTTAGGTTTTTTAGCAGTATCCTTTTTGTAGAAAACACATGATACTGAAGAGGTAGGTCTGCTGTCTGTTTTTCTGCAATCATCTTCAATATGAATGCATTCAGAAGTGGATGGGTTTTCCTTAGGAATCATTACTGATTGCTGGTCTTTGAACACCTTGCTACTACTTATTTCACAAGCTGAGATGTTTCCTCCTGTTTGTAGTGAGCTTATTTGGCTGTCATTTGTTAAGGTGGAAGTCAATTGATAGCAAGACTCTGTATTTTCTTCCCAACTCTGGAGCACTCTTCTGCTTTCCTTACCATCTTCAGAAGTGCAACTTTTAGCCATGTCCTCTGCTGCTGTCTCCAAGGTAGGCCGTTCATCAATTGCCAGTGCCACCTTTTTGCTGTTTTGCTTCTGCTCTGCACTAGCATCAATCTCCTGCAAAGATTCTACCTTATCCAGAGATGGCTCAGCCTTATAGTGCCCCTCCGAAATCGTTTTAAAAACCAAGAAGCACTTAGGTGCCTCTCTCTGAGAGGAAATGTTATCAGCCAAAGGAGATTTTTGATACTGGGCCTGAGGATCTGAGACATGAAAACCCAGTTCTGTATGGGAATGAGAACATTCAGTGCTGAGGTCCACAGACTGTGGGATGGCACTGCCATTAGCTGGTCCATCCTGGATTGGGCTGAGATAGGAAAAGCCCTGGTTGCTTTCCAGGTCAGCCAGTTCCCCTTGCTTAAGTTTTAATGAACAATCCAGTTCACCCTCTAAAATCATTTCTCCATCCCATTCTGAGAGTCTCTTATGAGGATCTGCATCACCATGCTCTTGTTCCAGTACTGCTGGCACTTTTTGTACAGGATTTGAGGGTCTGCCTGGCATTTCTGCTGCTTCTCCTGGAGCAGAAAGACAGTCCGCAGGTGTGCTGAGCTCTGCTCCCTCTGCAGAATCCAGTGGGCTGATGCTCATTTCAACTGATGCATGAAAGGCATGACGCTGTCTTTCAGCTACTGCAGAATTCCAGGCTTCCCCAGCAGTGCTGCAAGCTTCCAAGGGAGTGATACTTCCCTTGCTGATTTCTTCAGAGACTATCCATGATGCATTCAGACAAAAAAGAAAAAATCATTCTTATGTTAGTACTGTAGAATGAATTAGTAGAACTAATTGGCTTGAGAGACTTAAAAAACATACTAACACTGATGAGGGAAAAGAAAACAAAATACATACTTACGTGTTGAGAAAAACTGACTGAGGCAAAAACTACAGGCAAACACTTCAGGTGAGCTTGCAGTATAGGATTATAACTCCAAAATAAAACTACTAGTGCCTTTTAAGTTTTAAATGCAAATGCAGAAAGTGACTTCAGCCAGGAGTAAAGATACTGATCATTCTGTACATGGGCAAAGTGCAATTTATGAAAAGTACTGGCTATGGTGACTCCTCTCAAACCCAGAAGGGAAACTCAGAAATCAGGACAAGAATATAATAAAAGTCTCCATTAATTTTTTTGTCGCAGAATGGATTACTATTCACCATCTCTTTTAGTGACTTGCTGAGATTTAAAATCTCTGATTTCAGCAATGCAGCACCTGTACTGTGGAACTGATGGATCTCTTCACAGATCTCTTTGTATGTATGTGAAATAGAAGAATTTACTGCACCTCATCACAGGAATTCATTAAGAAGTAGGAATATAAGAATGTGATTAATACATAACAAGCACATGACATAAGATAGTTGAAGGCTGTGTAAGCTATACAGGTGGAGAGGAGTACTCCTGATGCACACAGACGTAACTACAGATAACAAAGAGAAACAAAATGAAAATTCATATTATCAGTTTTAGTTTAAAAAAAAATCACAGGATTGTTGGACAGTTTCTCTAAGGACATAGTAGAATTTCCTATCCATTACAGCATTTGAAGTTCAGACATCGCATCTAAGAAATGTCTATTACAATGATGGTAGAATCTGATTCATTGCTTTACTTTTTCTGGATTCTGCTTATCCCATGATCAAAAATCTCAAATTTAAAAAGATGTAAGAAACAGACAAACTTGAGTGGCTCCCCCTCCTTTCTTTGGCTTCAGGGATGCACTTCCTTGTGTTCCATGCTTTCTTCCCTATTTTCAATTCCCTGCTTATCAGAAATGGATAGTCACAGAATCAGGCCAAACCAGTTGGTAAACCGTTGACATTGCTTCATGTGCGCTAGGTACACCTACAGTCACACTAGTTTGTAAATTATCTTTCAAGAATCTGCTGCAACATGTAACCACAGTGAAGATTTCTCCCTGAACAAAGCTTCAGTGTTCTCCTCCTTCATCCTTTTAAGATTTCTAGATGCATATTTCTGTATCTTTTTGATCAAACAAACCATTCCACACTTCTTCACATAAAAACCTACTAACAGTTTAGCAGTAGAATAGCTCTAAGGCCTGAGTCCGGAGAGTGTGCAGAGTTCATTAAATTACTTTTTCTCTCTCTGGCTCTCCACCTTCCCTTTTCCCAATTTTAAGACTATTGTTGTTTGGTTTTTTTTCCAGAAATTCAACTGCTTTGTGCAATGGAGGGGGACAACAATTTCAACTAGGGAAACTCACAGAGCAAGATAAGTCTCTGCATGGAAAGCGCAGTCTTTGAGATCAGTGACAATTTAATTGTGCTTATTCCACACAGAAGGTAAAAGCACTACGAGCATGATTATATCTGGACTAATTGCCCCATCCAACTCCATGGCCAGGATAGACCTGACCTTTAAGTTGGTTTCACTAATATTTTTTCTTATGTCAAGTGAAACAGCATACCTGCTCTGAAATCAATGATTCCAGACCTGAAGCTTTATATATATACATATATATTTATACACATGTATATATCTCAATCATACAGTTACAGAGTATTCTGAAGTGGGCCCTCAAAGATCACTAAGTACAGCTCCTGACTCTACACAAAACCACTCTGAAATTAAATCATACTTCTGAGAGCATTGTACAAATGCTTCTTGAACTCCATCAGCCACCAAAACTGCCCTGTGGAGCCTGCTCCAGTGGCCAACCACCCTCCCAGTTGAGAACCTTCTCCTAATGTCCAACTTCACCCTCGCTGATGCAGCTTCGTGGGGATTTTCATCATTTTAAGGCTTAGAAAAATTTACAAAAAAAAAAAAAAAAAAAAAGAGTTAATCAGTTAACTTTGTTCCTTTTTTCCATGTTTGTTTTTGTGGGTTTTCTTTTTTGAAAACTTATTTTTTCCAAAATCAGATAAAAATAGATCCCTCAGCATTTGGATTTCTGAAATTGAGAATAGCTGTAAATATTTAAAACATACTGTTTTTTGAAACTATAAATTGATAGGTCCATTCAAAACTTTCCCAGAGGGCTTCTGTTGTATCTTACTGCTGCCAACGCTTATTATATCTTTTACCTTTCCAAAAGCATCAGGAAGACACTCCAGCACAGAAGCATAGCATACTTTTTTTTTGCCAAGAGGACCTAAAACTCTAAGACTTCAGAGATTGTATGCACACAACAGTGCACAGTGATGCTAACAGATGCTAGCAAAACAGCTACAAGCTGGAAATGAGAGGGTGTAGTGAGCTGCAGAGCAGCATGGAAAAAAAAAGATGTAATACCTGCTGTTACTGCAACAGGCAACACTAAATTTTAGGGTGGAAGGATGAATAAGTTGGCCAGCTACTCAAAACTAGATAGCAGTGAAAGCACTAGCAGACAAGGCAATTCTGTGATGGTATGTTTATGCAGTTTTCCCAGATTACAAAAAACAACGTATCAGTCTTCTTTCCAGCCTGTGTTAATTACCTGGATGGAGATGACAAACTCTTAAGTTTTTAAACAGAAAGTACTCACTCCCCCTCCCCACCTCCTCCCCCAAACAAAAAAAGAAGAAATAACAAGTGCTGTCTAGCACAGACAGGCTCTACAGTCAGCCAGGAAACAAGGTGCAACAACTCCAGGGAATTAAATAGAGCACTAATCCTAAGAAAACCAAGACTTAGATGAGTGCTGAGATCCTCCTCCTGACAACCTGGGGATAGACTCCGCCTCTTGTGCCCTCACCTTGCCTTCCCTCTGCGGAGAATCTGAAAGTGCTTCCAGCCAGCTCCCCAGCCTGTGCCAGGGCAGAGAGGTAGAAGCACAAGGTGCATAGACGTGGCAGCACGAGGTGCATACACCCATGTTGTTGTAAACAGCCTCACGCCTGAGAAAGCCCTGCCCTGCAATTACAGGTCTGACAACTGGAGCTGCACTAACACACACTACTAGTTGGGTTGTCTGCCTGGCCTACTGGCCCTCTGCAGCCCACAAGGTCTGCAGGAATCTTGCTGTGCCTTTCCTATGGGGCAGACAAGCTTCCTGATGGGTGGTGAATGGATGTCTGGCCCCAGCTGGGCTGCCACACAGCTCAAGCATACTTCAAAGGAGCCAGGATGGCAGAGGCTGGCTCACTCTAGCCTCCTCCATCCAAAATCCTGATCCATGTAGGAAAATCTCCACTTCTACCTGGAGGCTGCATATCCTTTGGTTTGGTGAGGCACTCAAGAAAAAACTCAGTACAATGGCCAGGGCTGTGCTAGCACAAAAGCTACCCCACCACAAAACTCAGTTTTCAGTGGGCTGTTCCCCAGAAGGGCACCCCTATAACTAAACATCTTGTTTTAATCCATTTCCACAGCTCAATGCTTCTTGTATGAAGCCTACTGCATATGTGCACCTGCAATAAATAAATAAATAAATGTTTAAAAAAAAAAAAAAAAAAAAGACACATCAACACACCACCACCAACAACAAAAACACACCAGAAAATGGATACCAGGCTGAGGCCTAGTTCATGATCTTCGCAAACCATCAGGCTACTTGCACTGTACATTGAGAAAGGTGAAGTAGCAGGGTCAAAACCCCTGAACTCAGGAAGAGATTTCACAGAGCACTAGAGTGAAGGAAAGCAGATTTGGAGCTTGCCAAAGGAAATAACATAAAGAATAAAAGGTCGTTACATAAAAAGCATGAGTCAAGATAATGTAGCATCTTCCACTATTCTAAAAAGCCTGTGTGCTATTGGCATGCTGGGAAGAAGTTGCCTCCTCTAATGTTTTGGGCAGGGGAAAAAAAAAAAAAAAGGGAAAATACATCCAAGTTGCTACTGAACCTCAGGAAAATATAAGACCTCTGTCATATGGGTATAGTTTGACGAGTTTTAACATTCAGTATCTCACTGTTTTTCACCAATAGTAGGCATACTGAAGATGTACTGAGCATATTAATTATCAAATTACTCACTAACTGGGAGAAAAAGGATATTTATTCTATATTTGTTTTCACTTAAATGGATTATAAGACTAAATAATAAATTATTAAAAATATCAAAGAAACAAAATTAGTAGTACAGAATTTCACCTCAGAAATTGCTACAGAATGTTAATCTAAACAGCAAGTGATGCCCGCAGCTTGGACAGCATATTGCACTTCCCAGGTAAAATGATTCAGTCTTATGACAACCATTAGGCCATCTATACATCGGGAGAATTGGTTCATTTGAAGCAGAGCTTCAGTTTTATATTCATAAAAGTTCTGGATAAGTCTTGACACTTTGTAATCTTTAGTACAGTCTTTAAGAATAAACAGGAACAGTAAACAGTGCTCACTGACATAGCTTAGTAGTACAATTGTTTATACTACTGGACTCAGAGAGGAAGCATCAGTGAAAGCAATGTACAGTCACTTCCAGTTGCACCATACAGGTGTCTCTACAAACAACAAAACAAAACAACCAACAGAAACATCTGGTCCCCAAAAGGAAGCAAGGACTTCTGAAATGTATGCTATGATGAACGCTACACACTACACACATTCCTAGACAAAAGTTTTGCTATAAATCACAGGAGTTCCAGTTTCTCTTTAAACAAAGCATTTCAGGACCTAGATGTAAGAAGATCTCCAGCTAGCTGTCGAAATTTCACAGTCTCCTACTACGTTACAGAAACATGCGCCCATGCTGCTGTTTTTGAGTTTCAGATTAAAGAATGCTGATGTTTATACTAAAACCACATTGACATATA